GAATAAGACAAATCAACAGGAATGTAAATAAAAAGTCACACACTTGGTTCCTTTAAGCATATTTAATATTTGAATTCTCATTTTTCTATTTTCCCATACCCCAGAAAACAGAGTTTTTAGATGACCAATATTTTGTTCCAGAAACATACAGCCTTATCAGCTAATTCATAAAAGAGCTATTTTACAAAGGTACATCTGGATAATTAGAACAATAAAGTCTTTTAGGCATTTCAAAATGTGATCAGTAAAAATACATGATTATTAATAAAGTTTTTTTAAGATAGTTCCAGATTTCTTTAAAAGTAATTTCTGTTAAAGAGTACATGATTGTATGGTGAACAAGGAAAATAAGATGTTCTAGTAGGAAGAGGCTGATTAAGAGTAACCCAGAGTGTGCACAAATTACAGTTACGTTTGCAGTACATCTGCTTTGCCATTGGCACCTGGAAACGGCCGACAGGGCTTCCTTCTAGGAGGTACACTTTTTTTCCTACCAGTTTATTTTCAAAACCATCAGTACCAGTGGAGAAGAACAAGGCAAAGGGACTCTTTTCTTGAGGGAAGAATAATTATGCAGATCACTTTGAAAAGTGGTGGAGGAGTCAGAGGAAAAAAAACATGATTTACAAAACAGGAACTGTAATTCTAGGGAATAAAAAGTTAGCCAGCAGAAAGATGACTGGAAGGTCCTGCTAATTTTCTATCTTAAGGTCCTCTGTACACAGTTTTGAACCTTGCCCCCTGTGACATATAGGGAAGGAAAGACTGACCAAAGCTCTTGTAGCTCAAAATAATATCATATACCACCTTCAAAGAAGATAGCTTTCAGTTTGAAAACAGAAGCTCCACATAATACACTGAATTTAATGATATCAAAAAGAAAGAGAAAAGTATGTGAGTAAAAGACAACTCACAGGAGGCCTAATTATTTTCTTTAGCTTCAAAAATAAGGAGACAGTGGACTTTTCTCTTCCATCACACTAGCTCCCCACCCTTCTCCAAGGACAAATTAACAAAAAAAATTTTTGAGAGGGACTCATCATTTCTAACAGTCGATCAAAGTTGTCTCAGGGAAAAGAAAGCAAAAAAGCACCTTTTTTTGTAGCATATTATAATAAATAGCTACAGTTCAGGTCCTGGCAGTCCAAGTTATTCATAGCTGGTTTTAAAGTACACGAAATACATGGCTTCTAGGGCAGTGATCATGATTTTAAATTACAGCACTTTGGGGTTTATTGATTTGCCTTGCTGAACTCTGTTCTCTGAAAAGGAAAGAGACACCTCAAATGCAGTCTGCCACTTAATAGCAAGGGAGCTGTTAGGGCCACTGGAAAGAGCACAGGGTCACGGCAGGTCACCACAATAGCTAAAACCAGCTCTCCTGCTCTGGGAAGGTAGCTCTGTCCACCGCCCTCGGATCTTTCTATATGCAAGTTGATTCCAACTTCTAGTCACCAACTTCAAGAAAACGGCTTTGACGGTCATCAGCCTCACCCCGAAACAGAGATTACCTAATTCCATTGTCCTGAAAGGCAGGTATAGTATCAAAGTAGGACGGATGTGATTATAATGGACGAAAGGGGGGTGGGGAGAAAAAGAGAGCACGGGAGACCAGGACGAGGAGGAGGAGGAAGACATGAGGCTGGTGAGATAAAAAAGAAAACTCAAAAAATCATGGGATCTTTTCAGAGTCAGATTTCATTTGGGGGCTCCATTTGAAGATCTAGATATGAATTTATTTGGAGGTATTAGAGCAACGTTCAAAATATTTTTCCAGTTAGCCCTGTTTTTGTTCCAAGGAGAGGTTAAACTTCAGGGAAAAGAAAAGCAAATAGTTGCTAAGGACAAGGGGTTGGCTAAACCAGAAGAGAAAATAAAACTTTGCTAACAGACAAATCTTCTTAAATAAATGAGTGCTAGGGAATTATCCAATGACCCTGTACTATCTGAAGTTAAGATGAAAGTTCTACTTGTATTTACCTTTCTTCTGATGGTATTAGTGTCAAGTAACTACAGGTAACCCTTTTAGTTGGGAGTGACTACATTATTTCCAGCAGCACAATGTAACCATTTGGTTTCTACTTGTTTCTCTTATGAGATACAGAAAGTTCAAGTCCCAAGCTTTACTTATATATTAGCTTCTGCTTCTAAAATTTTTAATCCCATTTTGATTTAATCTATACTTGGGCTATAAATCAAAATAAAATTCTAATTTATAGATGAGGTCCAACAATCCAAGTTGGTCTATTTAAAAACACAGATCACATTTGGAAAGACAGAAACAAGAATCTGGACATACATGAGCTTTGCTAAGTTGTAGTGGTGTTTATAAACGCAGCTGGGAATCCTTACCACTTGTGATGGGGGAAAATTTATATATATATTATATATATATATATATATATATATTTGGGCAGATGGTGGGGGGATGGCAGGGGAGAGTAAAATTACATCCTAACTACCCACAGAGTTCAGAGGGTACTACTGAAAGACATGAGCAGTGGATCAACTCTTTGTGTATTAACAGAATTTTAATATTTGACAAAGGATTTAGTTTTTGATTGGCAAAAATACTTCAAAACATATTAATATATACCTGATGCACAAAGAAAACCACAGAAAGCCAACAGAACTGAAGGGAGTTCTCAAGTTGCAGTTCTGAAACATTTATCCTCTGGAGGGTGCTGCCAGGGCTACTATTCATTCTAGAGCAGGCAGTTCCCAACGCCTTGCCTGCAGTATCCAGTGTACGTTCTGGTCTGCAATTTTTAAGGTCAGTCACGCACCAGTGTGGAAAAAGCTCCAGCAGTGAAGTCAGAGGATGTGCTTCTGGAGCTGGCTGGAGCAGCTCTGCCTTCTCCACCGCATCCTTCTCCACTCCACCCTCGGCTCTCTTTTCAAACTCCAAGAGCCCTTTGGCACCATCAGTGCAAAAATCAGAGTCAAACCTCCAGGTACTAAAATTTTACTGGCCTTATAATCAGCAGTACCCGTGGCTCATGAAAGCCATTGTTCAACTCAGTAGTGATTCAGTTACATAACCTTCCCACACTCTCACCGCTCCGTCCCACCCTTCCTCAGCAGCCCCCACCCCTGCCACCACCTGAAGCATCTCTGTTTGTTTTCGATTCCTGCTCAGTTGGCAGGGATTATTTTACACAAGTGCCAAGGTCTTAATGTATAATTATAAAAATGAAACAATACCAAGGATAACAAATTTATAGTCAAGAAAATAAAATTTGCTTTCCTCTCCCTCCCAAATCCCAACCCTCAACAGAAAAGGAGACGATAGAAGAAAACACACCCATTTTCAAGTGCCTGCTCTTTAGTACATTGAGGATTCCTGTTCATTGGGAGTGGATCCCAGCCTCAGAGAAGAGGCGCTGGCCTCGGGTGGGAGGAAGCACCCAGCTGGGAGCACAAAGCTCAAGTCCTGTGCTCGGAGGAGGCGCGGCAGAGGACTTTTGAGTACGCTTTTGAGGGGGGCCTCAGATGAGCAGCTTACAGGACAGCAGAGGGCATGGGACATCATTTGGTGGAGACCTCATGCTCCTCCCTCCTCTGCCCACGCCCTCCCCCCTTCACCCCTCCAGCCACCTCCTGATACCCCATCCTGAACTCTTTGCTTCAGGAGCAGTCGATCCTTGGGTGTACTAAATACAAAGGGCTAAAACTCTCACTACTCAATTAAAACAAAACATGGCAAAATAAAAATTAAAATGTGCTTTCAAATACGGAATGAAGTCAAATAAATACATCTGATTTTCTCTTTTTCTTAAGTCTAAGCAAAATTTCATATTCTACACCCAAAGCTCTATACATTTGGTTTTTGTTCTGAATCAAAATGGATTTCTGAGAGTGAGGAGAGCAGGGTGAGAGCAGGATGTCCCCCCCGCGGACAGGCTTGTGCAGCTGCCAGGCTGTGAAGACCCAGTCCTGCTCTGGGCCCCGGGGTCATGGCTCCCCCAGGCCGTTTGCAGGCAGGTCCTCTGTCACACATCACACACTCTCTCGGTGTCCACACTGGAGCCAGGACATGGTGAGACAAGGCTGGTGCTCAAATCCAACAACCTGCAGTCGCCTCCAGGACACGTGGCTCTAACTTTTATCTGGGAAGAACAAAGAGGTGTAGAGGTCAAATTAAGGAGAAAGAATGAGTTCAAATTAAAACAGAGAGGGCCTCTCCTGGTGGCTCAGTGGTAAAGAATTCGCCTGCCAATGCAGGAGACTCGGGTTCAATCCCTGATCGGGGAAGATCCCACAAGCCGAGGAGCAACCAAGCCTGTGCACCACAGCTACTGAGCCTGTGCTCTAGGCCCGCAAGCGGCATCTACGGAGCCCACGCACCCTAGCGGCCATGCTCTGCAACAAGAGAAGGCACCACAATGAGAAGCCCGCGCAGTGCAACTAGAGAGTAGCCTCTGCTTGCTGCAACTGCAGAAAAGCCCTCACAGCAATGAAGACCCAGCGCAGCCAAAAATGCATACGTAAATTTAAAAAAATAAATAAAAATAAAATTAACACAGAGAATACATCTGAAACCTGTGCAACTTGTTAACATCTTCGTTTCTGGATGGGAACAGCCTCATTCAGAAGAATGAAGGCAAACGAGTACAGACTGTGGCACTGGATATGGAACCACCTGTGGTCCCTGGGAGGCAGGAAAGCACAGCAGGACCCGGGGAGCGCCTGCCTCCACTGCACGGAGCCTCGGTTTACCTGGCCCACACAGCTCTGCCTTTTGCTTTTGCAAATGGGAAGACAGACAGAACGCGGGTGGCGTGGGGACTGACAACTGCAGCTCCTCTTTGAGAGGAAGAGCCGAGTCAGCAGATGGTGGCCTCTGCTTGACGCATATGTTCAGAAACAAGGATCTTTTTTTTAAGACAAGAGATGAAACAGAATCTCACAAGGTTTTCGCTTTAAAGAATAATAAATCATTTCATTCAATGTAGTGTTCAGGCAGGATGATTCTTGAGTCAGAAACCCACAGCGTTCACATACCTGAGTGCTTGTCTGTGAGGGCTGATCCAGCCAGCCTTTGGCAAAGAATGGTGTAACTTTCCTCCACCTTCTGTAAAATAAAACCCACAGGTTTTTCATTCAAACATCATAAAAAAAAAACCCTTGTTTTGAAAATAGGAAAGAAGGCATTTATATATTACAGGTATAAGCTGTCAAATTTAACATTAACATCATTAAAATTTTTGTTAATAGGAAAAAAAAGTAAATTTCATTTCCTTTTACCTGTTTCTCCCTTGAGTGAATAACTTAAAATGTTACCATGCAGAAGAAAGTAGAGGAGAGGGCAACCACTAGAGGTGATTATTCCCTCCTGTCCTGGAGTCACCCTGAAAATGATCCCATATGTGGCATGAACTAAGTTAGAGCCAATGTGCCCTCCATGGCCTCTTAGAATCTTACCAGTCACAGGACATCCCTACATGTAATCCTACAAAGAAAGGAAAACCTCTCACATGAAGGTGAAAGAAAAACTAAGGGAGACCAATCTTTGGCTAGGAGACTTTAAGAACACTTTGAACTCTGACCCCAAAACCTCTACTAAGTAATGTCATGACAAAACATCTGGGCTCTGGTACCTGAGCCTACGGATGGCAAACCTGAGTCCTGTTGTCAGAAATGACCACACAGGTCAGTTCTGCAGTGATAGCTCACACAGTGACATCTTCAATTGCCCATTTACGGAACTCCTACTCATAGGCAGGTCTTTAGATTACCACTGGAGCCACTGGAGACAACTTCTCTCTGTCACAGCATCTGGGAAACTATCAACATCACCCTACAACTCACAGATAATTAATAGGTGATGGCAAGTTAAGGCATTTCCCAGTCTAGATTCCTAATTACACAAACCCCACCTATCTCAGCTTATTGCTCACATTTTCTCATGGAGGTGAGCCAATCATCCCAAATGTATTTAGGTCCTTGAACTTTGAAAGCCATACATACACACAGTTTATAGAGTACAACTTTTTCTGTTCTTGTGATGTGTAACCAGATAAAACAATGCTGACCTTAGTTTTTCATCCAGGTCTACTCACAGACAATGGTCAGAGAAAACATACAAATCTAGACCCTTAGCGAGGTTACTGACAGCATGTTGATCATTCTACACTTTCTCTCTGTTAAATGTGTTTCTTATATCCGACTCCTAAGGATGAAGTCCAAGGTACCTTTAAGTGTTCAAGGTCAGCCTCTATTTTATGAATGTACTCCATGATCTGGCTGTGTGAATCGGCACAAGCAGAGGGACTCTGGATCTCAAAACGGGAATCCTCCATAGCTCCCCAGCGCTGCTGGACCAGGAATTCTGGGGTAAACGGTGAAACAGCCCCGTCAGAATGAGCATTCTGGGGAGAAGGCTGCTGGTGGTGTCCAGAGTCCAGAGAGGGGATGCCTGCTCCAGGCTGAAGAGGGAACGAGGAAGCAACCTCGTCGTCTGTGGAGCTCTCCTGCACTGGGTCATAGCCATCAAGGATCAGATAGGTTCCTACGGACAGAGACAGGACAGGATGAAGAGGTTAGTACCACCTCCAACACACTGAAAAACAGATGTGGGGTGGTGTGCTGACACCTTTAAAAAGCTATTGAAAAGTGAAAGTTAAAGTCGCTCAGTCGTGTCTGACTCACTGCAACCCCATGAACTATACAGTCCATAGAATTCTCCAGGTCAGAATACTGGAGTGGGTAGCCTTTTCCTTCTTCAGGGAGTCTTCCAAACCCAGGGATCAAACCTAGGTGGCCCGAATTGCAGGCAAATTCTTTACCAGCTGAGCCACCAGGAAAGCCCAAGAATACTGGAGTGGGCAGCCTATCCCTCCGCTAGCGGATCTTTCCGACCCAGGAATCAAACTGGGGCCTCCTGCATTGCCAGAGGATTCTTTAACATCTGAAATAGCTTAAAAGCTGTTAAAGAGGAGGAAAGGCCATTAAGTCCCAAACTTCCAAGTTACATTTCCAGGACATCAGAATTTTCTTACTTCAGGTTAAAGCTAAACTTAGCAAACATTCCTAGTAATTCCGGGATAACCTCATGTTTTCTAGCATTCCACAAGTTAAAAGCTGAAAACTACCTAGTCCCTATATGATCTTACGAACACTTTCCCTCAAATACCCACCTGGCCTCATTTCCCACCATTTTCTCCCACAGCCTGTGCTCTTTAACCACAGAATGCCTGCTCTGGCCTCGCAGACTGTGTGCTCACCTCCTTTGCTGGAACACTCTACCTCTGGACACCCACACAGAGTCTTCCTTCCCTTCCCCTGGGTCTCTGTTCAAGTGCTACCTCATGAGAGGCCTTCTTCCCTGACCACCCTATCCATCCTCATTACTGTCTGTGCCCCTCAGTCTGACTTATTTTTCTGTATCATCCTTACTATTTGACATCTATTTATTTGGTAACTTATTTACTGTTACTCTTCCCCCAAGTGGTGGTGAAGCTTCATAAGAAGAGTGGATTTTTCTGTGTTTTATTCACTGTTACATCTCCCAGGACCTAGGGTAGGGTCCAGCATAGAGTAGAGACGGTATTTACTGCATGAAAGAACAGACACTATACACAGACACACACATGAGATAATGCTTGGATATCCAAGCAACATCAATTTCAGCACATAGGACAAATAACGACGATCGAAATCAAAGTTTAAATGTGAAAGGAACTTGCCTGAGATGCGCAAATTAACATCCTTCTCTTCCTTTTTAACTGCTCCATCACCTTCTGATGGATTATCATCACTATGTGCTTCACGGGCATCAAAAAAGTGCTCTCCACTCTCATCAAGACCCCCTTCTGGCTCTGAGGGAGGCATCTCTGGGGTCATAATCATGTGGTCCATTACTAAAATGTCACTTGCCTGGCTCTCTTGGAATGCCAGTGCTGAATCCCGTGCCACTGAATTCAGTGCCACTGAATCCCGTGGAGCAGAAGATTCAGTTGAAGTCCGTGGACTGTAACAAGTTGAAATGTCACCAGTTCCAGTTCTAAAGGGCATCTGTGCTTCAACAGGATGACAGGCCTTAGTATTTTCAGGGTTCTGGGTTCCACTGTCTGCCTGCACCCCCAGAGAGGCTGTCCTGCATCTTGGAAAATGTGGCCAGTCTTCCTGAGTGCTCTTCTCAGTCAAGCCCAGCTGGTGTACCAGCAGCTGCTTCAACAAACCCACTAGAAGATTTAGGAAGTGGGGAGAACACATGCATTCACATAACCTCAGACAGACAGAATCAAATTAGAGGAATTATAATTTCTCTCTTAAAGCCAGTACTTTTTTACTAGCATACAATTAAAAACATTAACTTCATACAATCATCTTTTGTTTGGTTTGAAAAGTGAAATAAAACACCATCTAGAGAAAATTTAACATTAAACTAGACACACAAAAAAAACCCCACAAAAACCTGAAGAATTCTCAATGGAGATTTTCCTATTATTCTCCTATTTAAAACTGTTAAATAACCAATACCATGCCTGCCTCCATGTTTTCTTCCATATAACTGGAATAATGCCCCCTAGGTACTTCTTAAAAGGATGTAGAAAAGCTGTATCAATCTAAACAAAAGAATCTGAAAGTTCTGCTTTTTCCAGAAGCAGACACTATCTACATAGACATTACTTTTTCTAATTTTATTAGAGACACAGAGCATTTACTTTATCATCTATAAAAACCCAAAGAATCTCCTTAAATGGTGATGAAGAAAACAAAGTTGGCCTGTAAATTTAATTCCAATGTTTGGTACCATGCATAATTTCAAAGGATAAGGAAATATTTATTAGTTTTTAAAAATGACCTCACTAGTAACACAGCTTCCTTAGGTTGCTAAAACAGAACCAATTTAATTTTAAATGGGCCAGTGCATGCTCTGAGGCCACTCAATGAGAGGGTCAGTGGAACAATGTTAGTGAAATCATCAGAAATCATTACCACTGTTAACTCAATGAGTCTAGAATAAAGTAGGTCTTAAATGACTTGACCAATTCCCTACTTTCAACTGCCTTAATTTCTGTCTTCCCTTTAAATAAAGTCTCCACATGGGTTTGGGTCTTTGACCCTCTGTCTCTCTACAGTCACTCCCTGAGAGATGCTATGAATTCATATGGCTTTGACACTCAGAGCCACCTCTCCCTAACCTCCTCCAAAGTTTCAGTCTTAAAATTCCAACCTCCTGCTCATCCATCCTCTTAAATGGCTTGCCATTCATTACCTACATCTCACATGTTTAAAATTGAGCCCACAATCTATTGCAAAGGAAAGAAACAGAAAAGAAAGTGTATCAGTGGGCAATGGCAGTCCTTCTAATTTTTATTTCTGATAAGATAACTGAAATTATCTTTAAATATTCCCTTTCCTTTGTCCTCACATCCAAAGAAGTCAATTGTTTTAAGTATTTGTTGGTTCCTCACTTCATTTTTATTTCTCTAACACCATTCTAGTCCAAACCCATTTGGCCTCAAGCCCACACCTCGCCAATCCTCTTTCCATTCAAATCCTTTCGCAGCTCTCAGCCAGAGTATTATTTTTCATTACTAATACATACACTCCAGCTTAAAAACTTCAAATGGTTCTTTCTCTGCAGCCAGCCTTTTCCCTTCCTCCAGTACACCTGAGACAGGTGATGCATTCCTGTCTGTAGCAGGGGTTCTCAACCAGGCTGGAAAGGTGGGGGGTGGGGGGGGTAGCTAACAGAGTGGCAAGGACCACCCAGTCGTGCACCTGTGTGTGTGTGTGTGTGTGTGTGAAGAATGGGCTGTGGTGAAGAATACTACAGTATCCACAAGAAAAACAGAGGATTATCTGTAGTTTGAAATAGTCCTCAAAACTCTGTGGGGTGCCACCCTTCAACCTAGTCTTCAGGGTCCACAGCAGCTGGGCTCCACAAAGTGTCCTCTAGCTTTCTAACCTCATCGCACAACTCCTTTAGCTTACCTGGTCTCCCACACAGGCCAGCTGCCCTACTCACTGCTCTCTGAACACCCTCAGAGGTTTAGCCTTTTTGTTTTTGGCCCTACCATTCTTCTTATCTGAATGACTTCTATTTATCCTCCTATTAATAAATACCTATTTTGAGCCTTACCCATCTTCAAGGCAGTAGTCACAGCTCTCTTGTTTTCTAATGCCCTCCTTTCTCTGGTCACTCAAACCAGATCAATTTTGACATACCTATAAAGCTTATCTACTTAAGAAGATAGGGAAAGTTTTCTGTCATCTTCCAAACTAGACTGTAAAATTATTGAAGGGAAAATTCATAGTTTATACTTTCCTGACTCTCCCTAAATGGTTGCAGAGTACATTATAGAACTCTGGTGCTTAGTAAATATATCTGTGTTAATGTATGAACAGAACTTACAATTCCTTAGTGCATCCAGCGCCCACCGTTCTTCTGAGACAGGCAAGTGTGGATCTGGGATTGTGATTTGATAATTCACTCCGACTTCCTTCAGGGTCCCGTCTGCATGCTGCTCCTTTGCAAACTGTCTCTCAGCCACAAAGAGGTCATCTACCTCCGACTTCCCAGAGGTACCCAGCGAATGAGACTGAGGTTTTGATGACATTAAAGGAGACTCTAATCCCAAATCTCTGTCTGTTCAATGGAACAGAGAAAGTAGAATATATCTTAACAAAACTTTTAATGTGAAGCACCCAGAAAAATATTTGGAAAAAAATAACCACATAAGCTACAGAGATTGTCCATGAAGTAAAATGCATGCACTTAGTGTGGCATTATGATGGCACACAGAGGCACATGAGCAAAGTCTGTTAAAGTGAACAGCGATGCCAGAACCTGCATAAACCAAAACAGTTAAGAGTCTCTTCACATTTTATTAACTAACATGTAGACTATTTTCTTCCAGGTTAACTTTGCAAAACAGTTTACCTGGACTCTGCAGACCAGTGACTGAAATGTCATGATGTTCCACTTTTAATTTTGGAGGTTCTTCTTCATCGTTGTCTCCTCTACAGAAGAAAAAAATAAATAAATAACCTTTTAGCTTCACAAGGTGCCTAAAGATCATTGCAACAAAATGTTAAGAATCATCCATCCTTTTTCTGATGGCACTTAGAAGCAGAGGCAGACTCACTCGCACGGTGGTGGCTGTGGCAGTGGGATCGGCTTTGTGGACTGCTCCTTCACGGATGCGGCCATCCGACATATTAGGTCCTGCCAGCTGCACATTTGAAAAGAGCACAAAATACGGAAGGGAAAGGAAAATGAAACACACTTTAAATATACTCAGACAGCAGAAATAAAAACAACGAACTATACCAGAAACCAAACCAAACCAACAAACAAAAAACCCTATTTCTGCCAGAGGGAGTCTTTATTTTGGAGACATACTACTAAGTACATATTATAAAAATTCTACACCTTAAAGAAAAACCTAACAATATTATGGATATATCACCCATTAAAAAAACTTCACTTGACACTTGTAGAATTTTTTCCTTAAGAAAGATACTTTTCCAAGTAAGAGACAAGAATACTGGAGTGGGCTGCCATGCCCTTCTCCAGGGGATCTTCCTGACTCAGGGATCAAACTTTTATCTCTTATAATTCCTGCATTGGCAAGTGGGTTTTTTACCACTAGTGCCACCTGGGAAGCCCAAGTAAGAGCAGCTATCTAAAAAAGAACAAGTACTTAAAAGAACACCTCTCAAAGAATACAGAGGAAGTATCTGTTTACACACAGTTTTTGGTTTTCAAAGTCCTATTACAAAAGCAAGGTTAAGACTGTGGAATATTATATTCAGAATAATAAGACACAATAGAGCAGGCAGCTATGTCCAGTACATACACAGTCTTTTCAGAAACTGTCTGTGCCACCAGTTCATAAATTTGCGCTCCATTATCAGACATGGAGATGACGAATAGAGCTTTGTTATCTGAAAAAAACAAGACAAATTTACTCTATTGATATGACCCACAGAGGTTGTGAAAGATGTGTATCTTAATCTGAGTAAAGGTTAACACGTGTTCACTCTGTAGACACTCATTCACTTGGTAAAAACTCATCAAATACAACTTAAGAATTTATACATATATATTATGCTTTAATAAAACAAAGATTACAGAGCACGTAAAAAAAATTATAAAAGCAACACTAATTCCACAGTAATTTATTAAAAACAAAAAAGTGTCTATTATCTAAATTATTGAACTAAATATTCTTTTTGCATTTATTCCACATTGCCCTTTTGCTAAATGGCTAGTTGGTAATATTCAGTAGGTGTTGATGAAAAGAGGTCATAAATGTATCTTACCACCATGGAATTAACAATTTTAAAAAGGGATCTTCATTATTCGTACTGTTAATGTGTAACTTTCTAACTTAAACTGGCCTTCTCCTGTTTTTGCTTTTTTCCCCACCATATCAAAAGAGGGAAGCCCTGTCAATGGCTAAGTTCAATATTTCTTTTGGTAACTGTCACAGTGCACTTGAGAATATGAGCATTATTTTCAAATATCTTCTGATACGGATTTCTAACATAATTCCACAATGATAAGAGAACAGACTCTGTATGATTCAATACCTTTAGACCATAAAATTTTATACCCAGTTATATGTCCCTGGATATGTTTCAGTATCTCCTTGTTTATAGTCTATGGGAACTTGAATAGAATTTCTAACTTGTTGTTGTGTGCAAATTATATAAATCTTAATTATGTTGGATCATTGTGCTTTTCCAGTCTACTATATCCTTCTACTTTTCTGTCTATTCATTCTATTAATTTTTGAGAGTCTGATATTGAAACTTTAACTAAAACTCTTATCTACTTAAAAAAATAATCACAATATATAGTGGAACCATATGTAACTTTGTTCTGTATTTTCCAAGTCTCTGGTAAAGGTGTTATCATACTTTCATAATTTAAAATAAGTGAATAAATATTTTATCTTCTCAAAAAAAAAATCTAAACAAATAAGTGTATCTTATATATATCTTATAAGATATAAGTATATAAGTATATATATATATATATAAGATATAAGTATATCTTATATTAGATGCTGCCCAATTCGAATAAATTTTTGCCCAAATAAACTCTTGAAGTTTTTAAAGAAACTAACAAGACAATGAAAGCCTTCAATGGCATTAGTTCCAATTCACTATCTTCACTGATTTGAACATGAAATAAAGATCAGAGTAATATGCAGAAAAATTTTAAATGTGAAAAATTATTCAGAGACTCTAAGCATCCTAAATAATTTTGGGATATAAACTCATAATTCACATTCTAGGCAGTAAATGCATTTCACTTGATCTGTGTAAGAATATAAAAGGAGAACTCCATGCCAACTGTGCAACTTAGACAACACTGAGTGTCTTATGCAATGTCATGATGAGCCTGGAGACTAGTGTCATTCAGCAGACATACTCGCCTGTTGCCACTTGTCGAACCAACACCGTATTCAACTTGATGACAGGGCTAAATGTGTGTTTGCTGTCAGCTGTAGATGCCAGAATCTTACTGTGACACCTTAACACCAGTCTATCATCCTGCTTTTGTAACAATACAAGAATATCTTCCAGCAGCAATGTATATAGATCTAAAAATAAAAATGTAGGAAAGGGTGATTAGTACAGAAACTGAGATGTGTTTTATAAACTTCATAACAATTTGACATAGAAAACTGATTTCTGGTAAATCTAGTAAATTTTAAAAATTGCTATTGTGTTTTTTTAATTTCATTTTTAATAATTCATCTTTAAAGTATCACAACAAATAAAAAAACAATGGTTCTCCGCCACAGATAGTTTGAGACAGAGAAGTTTGAAAAGAAGCTTAGCCTGATTAGCACACAAAGATGGGGACAGGAATGAACAATGACAAAATTTTCTGCTTCATTCCTAAAGAAATATTTAACACATTTCACATGCAAAAAAATAACATAAGCAGATTTTCTGTAAATGTATAAATAACACAAAGTACCATTGCTAACTGCTGTAACTGAAAAATATGAGTGGATATCTTTTCTCTTTGGCATAAGGAAACTTTCCTATTCTTTTTCTTTCTCTACTCTCCCCCAAATTGGCAGACAGTACACCTACCAATAGTTTTATCTCTATTCACCTTCCAAACCAATGGGCCTTCATGAATCATCTTCCTCTTTGTTAAATCCAAATTCTGCCAAAATAAGGAGAATTATACACAAATTATTTCCAAGTACATATATGATATTCCATAGTGTCTCCTTTCAAGAAATTCCTAATATAAAAGACATTTACGTTCACTATTATTGATATCTGTCAGCTATTGAAAACAGAATAAAAATCCAGTTAAAGTAAGCTACATAAAATGTTCTAAAAAGGAAAATGCATCTGGTAGAAAAACGCTCAAGAGTAAAGTCTTCCCAATCTCACTCTAAACAGATACTAGCTAATGAAAATGAAGCAAACATTCAGTCCCTAGTCTCAACCCCCTTCCTTATTTTTTTCTATGTATAACTAACTAGATCATGGCTTATGCATATGAAGCCTCCGAGTTCTAGACTCTCGTTCCAGAAAAGCTCTACAGACAGCATTCACAGAAGTCCAGGAAGTACTCAGGCTTGCTCTAAATATTAATAACTTGAGAGAATCATCTTTTAGTATAAGCAGCTCTAGAAAAATCTTAAGTCTCTGGAAGTTAGGAAGCTCAGCATATCAGCATGTGTTTTGATAAACTGTTATGTATGACATAAAAGTATATTTTAATAGTCACCAAATAAATCTGCCAAAAGAACCAGTGAAACAGTACAAGAAAGACTTAAAATCCTCATACGTTAATTACTACAAAAACTCCATGTACTAGAGATAGCAATTCATAAATATTTTACTATCATTCCAGTAATGGTTTCAACTTTAATGCCTTGGAAGAGCTTCACAGAAAAACAATTATATTCCTTAACTCAAAAACCTAGAAAGTTCCCACAGTAAACAGCCCACTCTTAAACTATAGAGTACAATAAAATTAAATTTAACAATAAGGAATGTTCCTTAGTCTCCTGCAAATTCTTGTCACAAAAAGTTTCACACAAAATATTCCTCTGATGAAAGACTAAAGCAGTCTTTACACACAGACCAAGACATTTAAAAGGAAGAAAAGCATTCTTAGTATAGACTATCTATGATATAAGAACTCCTTCAGGTGATGGATGTTCCCACTGAGATGTTAATCATCTGGCAGGTCTTGAGTACATTTTACTTTTTAAGTAATGATTAGACCATCTCTTACCCTGAGCTCTTCAACATTTGGGTATTCTGACAACTTCAGATTAGAGGTATCAAGGCGACGCTGATAATCTTCCAAGCGCTGCAAATCAGACAGGATGGAGCTAAGGTTACTCCTTTGAAGATCAATGGCCTCACTGTTTTTTAATCGAATGTGGACACTCCCCCTGCATTTACTGAGCGATCTGCAACATCAGCCACAACTGACAACTCACTCTTTCTTAAAACACTCCCTTCTTTTGGCTTTGGTGATACTACCTTCTCCTGATTTTCCTTCCACCTCTTTAGCTCTTCCAATCTTTTTTCAAACTCTCTGGCCTCTAATTAGTTTGTATTTACTTTCTAAACATATAAATCATGTACATGGTACAAAATTCAGAAGGTAATATAAGGCACACAAAAAACAGTAAGTCTCCCTCTATGCTTGTCCGTGCCTTCCCCACACAGTTTTCCCTAAAGAAGTAATCACTAATACCCATTTCTTGGTTAGCCTATGAGGAAAATTCTAAGCAAAAAGAACACATATGGATATAAGTTAGCTTGCCTCTGTGCATGCTGTCTGTAGATATACCCTTTTTAAAAGAAATACATGGTAACCTACTATTTTCATATGTGTATCACTTATTCAAAAATAACAATATAGTCACAGACATGTTTGTGTGTGTGCATCACATCAACATTTCTTGCTGATGGTTCCATTAGCAAATAGAGTGGACTCATTTTTTCAGTGGCTGTGTGGTATTCAACTTTGTGAAAAAACTAAAGTTGAATTACATCTTACTAATGGACATGTATAGTAGTATACACTTCCAAAGGAAGAATGGTTGGATTAAAGGTTACATGCATTTTCCCCAAGATTATAAATTATTTCTAAATAGCAAGGTCGGCATGTATATAGTAAATGCCCATATACTCATCTACATTCCACAGTTAACATCTGCTATATCTGTTCTATCATGTATCTGTCCATCTATTCATCCCTCTATCTATCCATTTATCCATTTGATATTTTGGATGTATTTCAAAATAAGTTATAAGCACACTTTAAACATTTTATCATTAACAGAGCTAACAAGAGTTCAATATCATTAATGGGAGTTCAATATTTGTTTACAGTTGTTTTTTTCAAAGTAAAATTTACATACAGTGAAATGTACACATTTTAAGTGTACCTTTCCATGAGTTTTTATCAATGCATATACTTATGAAATCAAACTCCTATCAAGATATGAAATATGGCCATCACTTCAGAAGGCTCTCTCATACTTCCTCCTAGCTAATATCTGACCCCACATCCTCAGTGACAAACCACTTTTCTGATTTTTTTTCACCATAATTAGTTTAGCTAGGTCTTATAAGTTCACTAAACAGAATATATATATGTGTACACTTCTGCATCCAGTTTCTTTCACTCAGAATAATGTTTGTGAGATTCACCCATTATGGCTGGTATTACTTTAGTTATGACTATACTACATTTGGTTTATGCTACAAACATTCCGGTAGAAGTCTATGGGCATATATCTTCATTTCTCTTGGGTAGATCACTAAGAAGAGAATGCTGGATCAAAGGATGAACATGTGAATATGTGTTTTTTAAATTCAGATATAAATTTCTAATTTTCCCTCTGGGGTTATAACATTTTACATTACAAACAACAAACTTGAAAGTTCCTATTTTTCCAAAGTTTTACCAACAGACTGAATGAATGAACAAACAAGCAGCTAGAAGATGCTCAAGAGAGCCAAACACAACTCTGACATCCTACCACAAACTGATCTGGACCCACCTACTACATGAATAGGTAACCAGTGTTCCGCCCTTCAATTATGTAATAACAGCTACACGGGTTACTAAACAGGCTCTGGGTAACACTAATTTAACATTCTTATTCTCACTGTCATCCTGTGTCTTCTTGCCTTTTCCTTCTTACCTGCTTGTTCTCTGCCTCCTTAACAGCCTGGTTCACATAATTTAAGATCTGACGACAGTGATCTGCAGCTTTCTTCACCTTCTCCCTTTCTGGAGGCCACTCTAAATACAGTGAAAAAACCCGAAGTGTAAAATGGAGGAAATCAGAAAAGAATATAAGTGTGTGTGTGTGTGTGTGTGTGTGTGTGTATATATATATATATATATATATAAAGGAGATACCACTTTATTTCAACAGTATGAAAGCATACTAAGACCCTGAATATTTTTATACCAGGATAAAAAACCTACAACAGAATCTCAATTTAGGTAGTCTTTAGACAGGTAAGACTTCTTATCACAGTCTTTAAGCATAAATACTAATTTTTAAAAAGAAATCAAATGTGAGGAGTGATGCTTTATATCAAGTATCATGCCCACCCCAACACACGGGTTTCATTCACATTGTAAGCTTATATAAATGAGACTCCTTTCTCCTTGCAATTTCAAAGTGCACAGCCTACAAGATTATGTACAGTTGACTAGTTAAGCAATATTTTTGAGTGATAAAATAATTAAAAATAGCTCCAAAATAAGTTTCTTTAAATTTTGGATTAAAGAAAGAAAATAACTTACAATACTTGTTATCATTAAAAGAAGATGAAATTCACCAAAATGTATTGAGATTGTGCTGAGGTTATGTTTTGGTAAAGAATACCAAATCAGAATACTTGAAATTATAATCCCCTAAACAATAGTTCAATTATACTGAATACATTACAGTATAAAAATTAATGTGTATGAATATTTTCAAATTCCCAGGCATAAGAAATAAGCATTTAATTACACAGAAGTACTGAGAACTAAGTAAGTATAAGAACCTAAAGCTCAATTGAGAAACTCAGATTCACTTCTTAGTTTAAAACAAGAGAGCTGGAGTGATAATACACTGATTGGACTTAATGAAAGTACGTATCAATAGATATAAAATATCTCTTCAACCTGGTATAAGCCTTCACCAAAGGAAATATGATGATATATGCTAGAGGAAGTATTGGTAAACTTTTCCTGCTTTTTCTGTATATTTTACAGGTCAAATGGTCTTTGTCACAACTATTTAACCCTGTTGTTGTACAGCAAAAGTAGTCAGAGATAATATTTCAACAATTGAGCATGACTATGTTCCAATAAAACTTTACTTACAAAAATATGTGTGAGCCAGATTTAACCATGATCCATAGATTGCTTAAACCCTGTGCTTGAGATACTAATGGAGCATATTAAATCAAATAGCCTGAAGACAACTGGAATCTTGCTAGAACATTTTGCCATACTACTTGGAAATTCAAAGTGCCAGACACCAGGATGCTGTGAGAGATTATTCAGCAAAATGTGTTTTTGTTGTTGTTATTCTTAAGCTCTTTAATTTCAGTGAGAATGCTGTACCTGTGTATTTGGCAATATTGTCCAAGAGAAGAGGGTACTTAGTAAGCCTTTGCATTTGAGTGGGAATGATATCCTTTAGCTGCAGACGACGACAGAGTGGATTACTCTCAGCATCCTAAAATTAAAGGCAAATAAGTGAATTTGTAATTCTTATTAGGACTATAATTACCTAACATGCACCATATATTCATCATACAAATGTCTTCAGCATCATAGTTCTGGTTACTAAATCAAGACTTAAAACCTGCCAAGACATGCCACTGGCACACTTCACTTCTGTTTTCTCCTTTAATCATATAATGTAGCCTTTATCACTCAGCAAATGGCTCTGTGCTATCTGTTTAAGCAAGGATTGAGAACATCCACAATCATCTCTAACAATTGCTTTCTTGTGAAAGAAGTTTTATCTTTACATACTAAGAAAATCTAGTTACATTTTCCAACGACTGGCTTTCCTACCAAAAGCTAATCAGTTATCTGCTATCTGCCACTCTAAGTAGGCACAGTAGATCATAAATATAGATGTATCAGCTCAGCTGTAACAGAGGTCTGCAAACTTCTCAATAATATGCCAGACATGGCTTTGCATGTCATCAGTCTCTCTCAGAACTATTCCATCTGCTGTTTTAACAAAAAAGCAGCCAGAGGCAATACTTAAAGGAATGAACTTGGCTCTGTGCAGTAGAATTCTAAGTAGGCCTCAAAGATTCCAATTTTATGGTGTACAACCTGTATAACCCACCCGCTGCCCTTGAGTGTGGACAGAACCTATCAATATGATGGGTTATCACTTCTGTGATTAGGCGACTATCAGTTAATTATGAGTCAATCAAAAAGGAGATTGTCCTAGGTGAGACTGACTTAATCAGAGGAGTCTTTAAAAGCAAGCTCTGTCAGAGAGACATGTTCCTACTGGACTGGAAGAGAAGGACACATCTTAGAAACTGCCTACAGGGGCTGCATGGCAAAGAGATTTGGGCGCTTGCTAGGAGCCCAGAGCAGTTGCTAGCCAACAACAGCAAGAAGACAGGGTTCTCAATTATACATTTACAAGGAAATGAATTCTGCTGACAACTAGTGAGCTTAAAAGAGTCCCAGATGAGAACTGTAACTGCAAGTGATACCTTGATTTCAGCCTGATGAAAGCATGAAGGACGGACATAGCTAAACTGTATTTGTACTCTTAAACTACAAAACTGTGACATGATACTTCTGCATCAAGTTGCAACATGTGTGGTGATTGGTCTACAGCAATACAAAATAAACTGTGTTCCAATAAAACTTTATTTACAAAAACAGGGACGAGAATGGATATGGCCCATGGGCTCTAGTTTATTGATAGTTATATATACCAATATATAGCCCAGTAATCATGGCTGCTGTCTGACTCTTCTCTGGGCTGGCTATAAGGCCCTTCTCATGTTTTGACAATGTTATTTCAATCGTGTACATGGCCATTTCCTGCCAGTATCTCCATGGCAATGTGAACTTCTATGTCAAATATTTTATTCCCATCATATATTCTTTATAATTCACCATTACAGTATCACCTTTATATCCTGCAGTAATTTAAGAGATAATGCATGGCTTTAAAAATGTAAACACAGATGTAACCCTTATACAAAATTTTAGTCTTAGAATTCCCCTAGTTCATTCCATAATCGACCCCCCCAAAAACTGCATTATTGTGTGTGTGTGTATGTGTGTGTGTTACATGACTCACTCAACTCACTTGCACAAAAGTCTGGAATCGAGAATCCTTTTTCTGGCGAGACTTGATCATTTCCAGGGCAAAGGGCTGGTTACTGCAAAAGGTAGCAGCAGCATGTTTCAACTTTTCCTCCCCGGGTCCACTGAACTGTGCCAAGAACACAAAGAACACAACAGAGAATGGGATCCCAAGCTTACACAAGGCCAGGCAAAATGAGAGACAGCCACAGTCCTCCCAATATCCCAGTAAGTATCCCCGAGTGACAGCAGAAATCTACGTATTTTATGGATTATCAAGTATTCTACACTAAAAAACTTCTGACTCTGACATATCCAGACCTTTTTTGATCATAGTCTAGTATTTTCTTGTTCATAGCTTACCACAATTTACTACCTTTTCAGTCTATCCCACTTCTAAATCTGACAGAAAGGTTGACACTTGGGGAATATGAGACACAAAATGCTTAAAGACTGAGATTAAAATTTGATTTTCTTATAATCTGACACCTTCACAAAAATTACTGTCTTACTGCTGTAGGAAGAAAACCCTTGGGATTCAAGCTTACTTTCTTACTTATGAAATCCAGGGCAGGTTGTAACTTCTCTGAGTCAAAATAAAATTAAATCACCTCCACAGAAGGTGGAGCTCCATCCCTTAAATTTCTCTTAGGGAAGATTCATGAGCCTATGAATGTCTTTTACTAAAAATTAATACTTTTTACTGGCTTTCCAGGTGGTGCTACTGGTAAAGAAACCACCTGCCAATGCAGGAGATGTTAAGAGATGCGGGTTCGACCCCTAAGTTGGGAAGATACCCCTGGAGAAGAGAATAGCAATCCACTCCAGTGTTCTGGCCTGGAGAATCACCATGGACAAAGGAGCCTAGTGGGCTACAGTCCATGGGGTTGCAGAGTCAGACACAACTGAGTGACTCAGCACAGCACAGCACAGGACATTTGTAGGTAAACTCTCAGCGCTTTCCTCTTCAACTATGAAGCATACAAAGTGGTGTTTTAATAGGTTGCTCCAATGTTGTATTCTTATCTTAAATATGACACCCTTTGGTATGTTAGTCAATCTAGGTACCAGGCAATTACTAACAGCAGCTGGGTTTACAAAAGAAAATAACACCTCAGCCTCAAGCAGTTTTACAGTGGTTTTACTAGTAGCAAAAGTACATATAAGGTGATCTCATGGGGCCAATACTGGAAAAATACTCTCCAAAACTATTTTTAAAAGATAAAATAAATCTAGACACCCATTTACGATTTCTGCTTTTAGTATTTCTGGCCAGTGCTTTGCCCTAAATTAACCATTTGTACCTAGCAGCTACTAACCAAATTGGTTAGTCCATTTTGCTTTTCCTCAACCTCTTATAGGCAAAATACACTGGTCAAGAATACAATTCTTTTTACATGCTTTAAGATAAATTTTCTGTCTGACTTTTAAGAGGTATCTTTATTTCACATGTAATATTTATGTAGTCCAAAGGGCTTTTACAACAGGACCAACTGTACTTTTGTACTTTATTAATGATGAATCTCACTTGAAACTTGGTGTTAAACATTATTTATAGGAGACGTAAATTAAACTGCTTCAGAATCAAGATTGATATCTTAAGTCCATATGACTTACAACTTTTAAATCCAAATGGAGAAGAAAATTCATGCTATGCTATGTCATACCACAAATTTTCTATTTCAAGTTTGGTAGCATGCTGCCAAGCCCACGGAACTCAAAGATCAGAAACAAAATGAGTCACATGACCACAGAGTAGCCACAGAACAAGCTGCATTTTCAAGGAAGTTAAGTCTCCTTAACAACAATAATGCCAGCATGGGTCTAAGGAGAAAATGCCTTGGAAAGTTCAGTAAATGCAAGGTGAGACTGGATTAGGATTCCCTGATCCTGTTTTACATGTCAAGTGGCTAATCATTAAGAAGAGATCTACTAATAGATTAGATTCTGAGTCACAGTCTCACCATCAGTGAAAAGAGTAAGATGAAGATTGTTTTGGTCAACTTTCCAGTATTTAATCTTTTTTTTTAAACACTTTTACTTTTTAATTTTTTTTAATCTTGCTTTGTTCACTTTATTTATTTATTTATTTTTTTACAGAATACTTATTCAGTCTGGCTGAAATTATTATTATTATTCTTTTTTTATTGGAGGCTAATTACAATATTGTATTGCTTTTGCCATACACTGACATGAATCCGCCATGGGTGTATATGTGTTCCCCATCCTGAACCCCCCCTCCCACCTCCCTCCCCATCCCATCCCTCTGGGTCATCCCAGTGCACTAGCCCTGAGCACCCTGTATTCTGCATCAAACCTGGACTGGCGATCCATTTCACATATGATAATATACATGTTTCAATGCCATTCTCCCAAACCGTCCCACCCTCGCCCTCTCCCACAGAGTCCAAAAGACTGTTCTATACATCTCTGTCTATTTTGCTGTCTCGCATACAGGGTTATCATTACCATCTTTCTAAATTCCATATATATGCGTTAGTATACTGTATTGGTGTTTTTCTTTCTGGCTTACTTCACTCGGTTTAATAGGCTCCGGTTTCATCCACCTCATTAGAACTGATTCAAATGTATTGTTTTCAATGGCTAAGTAATATTCCATTGTGTATATGTACCACAGCTTTCTTATCCATTTATCAGCTGATGGACATCTAGGTTGCTTCCATGTCCTGGCTATTATAAACAGTGCTGCGATGAATATTTGGGTACACGTATTTCTTTCAATTCTGGTTTCCTCGGTGTGTATGCACAGCAGTGGGATTGCTGGGTCATATGGAAGTTCTATTTCCAGTTTTTTAAGGAATCTCCACTCTGTTCTCCACAGTGGCTGTACTAGTTTGCATTCCCACCAACAGTGTAAGAGGGTTCCCTTTTCTCCACACCCTCTCCAGCACTTACTGCTTGTAGACTTTTGGATAGCAGCTATTCTGACTGGCATGAAATGGTACCTCATTGTGGTTTTGATTTGCACTTCTCTAATAATGAGTGATGTTGAGCATCTTTTCATGTGCTTTTCACCATCTGTATGTCTTCTTTGGAGAAATGTCTGTTTAGTTCCTTGGCCCATTTTTTGATTGGATTGTTTATTTTTCTGGAATTGAGCTGCAGGAGTTGCTTGTATATTTTTGAGATTAATTCTTTGTCAGTTGCTTCGTTTGCTATTATTTTCTCCCTTTCTAAAGGCTGTCTTTTCACCTTGCTTATAGTTTCCTTTGTTGTGCAAAAGTTTTTAAGTTTAATTAGGTCTCATTTGTTTATTTTTGGTTTTATTTCCAATATTCTGGGAGATGAGTCATAAAGGATCCTGCTGTGATTTATGTCAGAGAGTGTTTTGCCTATGTTTTCCTCTAGGAGTTCTATAGTTTCTGGTCTTATGTTTAGATCTTTAATCCATTTTGAGTTTATTTTTGTGTATGGTGTTAGAAAGTGTTCTAGTTTCATTTTTTTAAGAAGTCGTTGACCAGTTTTCCCAGCACCACTTGTTAAAGAGATTGTTTTTTCTCCATTGTATATTCTTGCCTCCTTTGTCGAAGATAAGGTGACCATAGGTGCATGGATTTATCTCTGGGCTTTCTATTCTGTTCCATTGATCTATATTTCTGTCTTTGTGTCAGTACCATACTGTCTTGATGACTGTGGCTTTGCAGTAGAGCCTGAAGTCAGGCAGGTTGATTCTTCCAGTTCCATTCTTCTTTCTCAAGATTGCTTTGGCTATTTGAGGTTTTTTGTATTCCATACAAATTGTGAAATTATTTGATCTAGTTTTGTGAAAAATACCGTTGGTAGCTTGATAGGGACTGCATTGAATCTATAGATTGCTTTGGGTAGTATACTCATTTTCACTATATTGATTCTTCCGATCCATGAACACAGTATATTTCTCCATCTATTTGTGTCCTCTTTGATTTCTTTCACCATTTTTTTATAGTTTTCTATATATAGGTCTTTTGTTTCTTTAGGTAGATGTATTCCTAAGTATTTTATTCTTTTCGTTGCAATGGTGAATGGAATTGTTTCCTTCTCTGTTTTCTCATTGTTAGTGTATAGGAATGCAAGGGATTTCTGTGTGTTGATTTTATATCCTGCAACTTTATATATCCATTAATTAGCTCTAATAATTTTAATCTTTTTAAAAGTTATCACTGTAAAATTACCAAAATCTTTTGGCATTTCCTCAAGCAGTCTACATACTGAAGTAAGTATCTGTTGGCATATCTAAACAGTTCCTGTTCAACCAGTGTTAAAATTTTGGGAACCACGTCACAGGTTTTACTATTACTCATAGACTTAACTACAGGACTTTCTTTAAGCATCTAGATCAAACCCACTTTCCTGTAGGAAGATTTTCTGTATGCTCCAAGTTTAGGTGTCCCTGCTGTCTATTTCCAAAATAACCTGTATTCTCCCCTTTTTTTTAACACTAATCACACTTTAAATAATGACTATTCTTTTTCCCCTACTGATTATAAGTTCTACAAAGGCAGGAGCCGTATCTGTTCTGACTGCCACTGTATCCCCAGCACCTTGAACAGTGAGTATATGCTAACAAAGAGTCAGCCAGAAAGATAAAAAAAACAATTTGCCATGCAGCTACTATAGTCTCTAAACTCTCTTTCCTTATACTGTAAATAAAGTTAAGTAATTTTCACTTTTCTGCTTCTGTGATGGTAGCTATCGATCTATAATTGTCCAGTGTTTTACAGTATATTTCTGAGATTTTGACAACAAAAGACAGTTAAAATTCCACATCAGTTAAATTATTTTTATCAAGGTCCATTTTACTCTACATTCTTTAAAACACAAAGAACTATTATCTTTAATTTGATGAGAAAAGAGAATGCAGTTGAATGGGCACTTATTAGAAGACTAATTAAGAATACACACTTGGACCCTTTTTATCTTTACATTAAAGGATGAGTTTGCATACTTGGGAAGGTTAGCAGCTTAACCTTAAATCTGATCAAATGCCTATGAAAATTTTTAAATGAAATCACCAATGTCCTTACCCAGATCAGCAAATCTTCCCCAATCTGATCAATAACAGAGGTCTCATTCCTCTTCCGAATAGCCTTCATTTGCTCATTCAACCCAACTAAGGGGGGGTGGGGGGGAGATGAAAAAAAATTAAGCATACATCCATTTCAGGCTGAGATACTGGTAGTATCATGAATCTAAATTTAAAAAAAAAAAAAAGATTTTCAGAGTAGTATAGCTTTTTTCCTCATAGCTCAGTCAATAAAGAATCTGCCTGCAATGCAGGAATCTGCCTCCGATGCAGGAGACCCAGGTTCAATTCCAGGGTTCAGAAGATCCCCTGGAGAAAGAAATGGCAACCCACTCCAGTATTCTTGCCTAGAAAATACCATGGACAGAGGAACCTGGTGGGCGACAGTCCATGGGGTTGCAGAAGTCAGACACAATTTAGGGACTAAGCCACATAGCTTCTAATTGCCTTAAATATAAATCTGGACATAATTCCTATACATCTATATATTTTTATTTCTATATGAAAACCAGTTGCCAGAGCATAAAATAATGTGGAAACTAGCACATTATATACAGTACAGGGGCATCAAATACACATTTAACCTCAAGACTCCATCTGTAACCAGCCATGCTTATTAGAAAACAAACTTCAGCTGTACAAGTGACTCCGCCCACTATTTCTCTCAAAATGTGTTTCCAGGCAATGGACATCATCATGCTCAAATGTGTCATGCACACTGGTGAGACTCAGGATCACCCACATAGGAGCAAAAGGCAACCATTCGGTGCGTGGGTATTGCCAGGTGGTGATGGCATCCTTGATGAAAGAAAGACTAAAAGTAACGGCCCTGGAGAAACAGTGACTTACAAAGAGAGGAACTGATACTATTGTCTCCAAAGCCCAAGATGACTACAACCAGGGACAGACAGCAGCACTGATTTTTAATGTACTCATTCAAGGATTCCAAGCCACAAAACCATAAAATAATTTAATTCCTAAAAGTTTTGGATTATATGCTAAATATCACTACTTACAAAATATATTTATACATATATTATACAGAGTATATATTTTAAAAAACATATATAATGTAAGTAATCGGGAATTTCCAAGGGTAATTTTAACTATGTTTTTTGTCTTAGGCATTGACTTTAGGCCCTAAGTTCTGTGTTAATACTCTGAATAAAAAAAAGTTGATGTGGTGGAAGAAAGGAATTGGGGAGAAATTCAAAGATACAATTATTTTTTTATCTTATGCTCACATATAATTATAGAATTTCAGGAATGCCAACATGGATACAATTATTTATAAGATTTTACTGTTATGGTGCCTTTTTATACCAACGATCTTTTATCTATTGGAAATGTTAGGAACAAAGATCAGAGTCAATTTATCTTACTGTGAAGTTGAAGAATATCTTCTAAGTTTGAAAAAATTTTACGTAGTTCTGAAGGTGACAAAATTCCTTCTCTGGACACTCGCTGATAAAACACTTGATCTAGAACCTTCAATGTTCGAACATGAGCTCTTTCAGTGTAGAATAATTCTAAGCAGAAAAATAGGAAACATAAAAAGTTACCTTACTTAGAATGAGATCAAACATAGGCTTTGGCTGAAATTAAGTACCAAATGAGTAATATAATCATTATTTACATTTTTGACAGGATATGGTATCTCTGAAGCCACTTCTTAATTCCATGAAACTCTACTATATACTGGCTAAGAGTTGAATACTGCTAAATGAAAAGTATCATTTAAAACTATTTTGTACTTGCAAGCTAACAATGTACTCCAAAATCCATTGGTTGCCAGCACCAACCAATCACAACTACAACACTGGAAAGCTATAAGTCCAAATATCATAGTCTTTTAACTGAGCCCTCTTCAGAAGTAATAGCATTCTATGTTATCTAACTTGCCCATTAACTCTCTTTAATTAATTAAGCAGGCTGCACTTGGTGTCTGCTGCTGTCCGTGGGCTTTCTCTGGTTGCAGCAAGCAGGGGCTACTCTCTGGTTGTGGTGCATCAGCTTCTCATTGTGGTAGCTCCTTCTGTTGCAGAGCACAGGCTTCAGTGGTTATGGCACATAGGCTTACTTGCCCCGCAGCAAGTGGGGCCTTCCGGGACCAGGGACTGAACTCATATCCCTTGCATTAGTAGGTGGATTCTTAACCACTGGGCTTCCAGGGAAGTCCTGCCTATAGACTCTTATTTCTGAGGCCAAACTTTTTAATTTCACCATGCCTCAATGCTGCCAGAGACAGGAAGTATATTTATTCAAATCACAACTTAAAGATAGTAACAGGTACAGCTTCCGTGTCTCATATGCTAGGGTAAAATAAACAACATTATACAAGGATAAGACCTAGATTTTAGTTTTCTTCCCATCACTTACCAGCTGCATGATCTTGACTAATTCAATTAGTTAGTCTGAGCCATGGCCTTCTCATTTATAATCTATGCACAAAAAAATAACTGAGCTTGAAAGTAAAGTGAGGGCACTAGTGTTGTCTTGATGATTTTTCACATTTAAGATCTATAATGATATGAATTTTAAATAACTTGAATGCTAAACACATTTTCCTTTTAAATTATCATTAAGAATCATACAATCACTTGCATTTTTAAGTTGGAAAGTTCAGGGATAATCTATTAATTTCCTCTCTGTTCAAAACAAATGGTGAGTATAAACTCTGAAGCAAACTCCAAGTTTTGGGGGTGGTTTAACTCTAATAAAACTCTATATATGTGAATAATAAAAATGAATTAAGCTCACCATTAATTACTTCCTGTCTTTTGATCTCACAAGGCTTTAGTCCCAATAACACTTCTCGACTGACAAGCTGTTGCCAGTTGGGTGGGTCCGTCTCTAAGTCATTTTCAAACTGTTCATCCTCACTTTGACTTTCTCCAAAAGCTATGCTGTCAAACCTAATGAAGAACAAATAATGATTTCTATTTCAGGACATCATATGGACAATGGGAGACAGCACAAATCTTTACATTACAGTAAATCAATCAGATTTCTGAAGTATTACTTAGCAGAGCCTGGAACATCCTCCCCCCTTACAAAATAGCTAACATGTGTTATAAACGCCTCCATAAATTTTTAAATAGTTGTGTTTATTAAGAAATTTCTTTTATAGTATCTAATAGATTTGTGCATAGGGCTTTTTTTCCTTTAAAACTAGGACTTAAGGGAAAAAAGATATATTTCTTAAAATATGCCCCACTGAAAGCTACTTTAGGATTACTTACTTTCGAAAGGGCTTTGGTGTCCCATGTTCAGTCACTCTAAAACAATGGAGAATAGACAGTCAACATACAAATAAAATGGTGATGAAAAAATTGATGACAAAGATATTAAAAATCCACAGTGACTGATAAATAATTCTTCTGAATATTGCAATGACTTAATATCAAATAAATTAAGAAACATTTCAGTACATATCTAATATTTACTACCAATAAATTCTATTTCTTTCCCCCAAAAAGCATGTAGAATACTAAGTATAGGCATACTATACAGTGAGGAACTTTTAAGTAATGTCCTAAACACCCCTAAGACACCACTGAATTACCTTTCCACTTCCCATTCCTCCTCCTGCACCTGGTCTAATGGAGGAGGTGGGAAATCAAAGATGGTGTTGGGAGTACGAGGAGTGCCATCCAAGGAGTCTCCAGATGCCGGCGTTTCTCCAGCTTGTTTTGATCCTGAAAAGACAAAAGTCAGACATTCATATGCTGTTAATAAGAAAAGTGATTAAAAAAAAAAATCAGTCCCCCAGAAAGCTTCAGCCTCACCCATGGTCATATTCTTACTTAAACAACTGCAGGTTAGCTAGAAACAAAATTCTAACATAAAATTTTCACATGCACTAAAAAATAAACTGGAATATCATTTTTCAGTTCAGTTCAATTCAGTCGCTCAGTTGTGTCCAACTCTGTGACCCCAAAGACTGCAGCCTGCCAGGCTTCCTTGTCCGTCATTTTTACGCAGCTTTAAAAAAATCAACATAAGACATGGCAACTACTAGGAAGAGCACATGATATGGAGAAACATTCTCTATATCCTTTTTTACTCCAAGTACCAATCTTTTTCATTCAAATTTTAGTTATCATCATGGTCTACCTCTAAATAACTTCATATTTCTCACTTTGAAGAGTTTGCTCACTTATTCGTCCCATTTTTCACTTCCCTTCCTTTTTTTCTTCCCACTCTTTAATATCTATATTATTATTCCTAATTATCTGTTATTCCCTAAGTTTAAATGATGGAATTATATATAGATATATTTGTTCCAACAAGGCGTTAAGTGTCTTAACTTTCCTCTATGTCACATTAGGTATTTGTGTCTGTATCCTTCTCTTTAATTATATTTCTTTCCTTTTACCTTTCATGTCTTTCAGTTACATTTTTACTTGTATCCTTAAGAGGATTTTTCACATTTCCATTCTGATTTGTAGCCACAACTAAAAATATTCTATGCTTTGCCTAATAGGTTGATTCTAAGAGTCTGAAAAAAAAAAACAGTGTACTTACATTATTGTGACCATACACATATTGTAATACAACATTCTTTCCAGGTTAAGAGGCATGTTAGGTTAGGATTATGTTTTCTTTTCTACTGGTCCAATGATACAACTCCTAGGTCACTTGAAATAGAATGTTTATTAAAGTCATAAACTCCATCAGTCACTTTCAGATTATGCCACTGTTTGCTTCATGTTTCAATCATGAAGTCTTCCTGTCACCAGCCACCTGTGGCAGCATGGAAGCAGGTCTCTTGGCCCTGTTAAGCTTTCAGATGGTTGGCTGACATCCTGACTACAACTTTATGAGAGATTCCAACCCAAAACTGCCTACCTAAGCTGATCCTGAGCTCCTCACACACCAAAAATGTGAAGCAGTAAATATTTTTTTGTGTTACGCCATTAAGTTTTGGGATAATTTATCACAAAGCAATTGATAACTAATAAAACAGTTATTATATGTAACAGTTATATTAAGACTTCTTGGTCTCTGCTCCTTTTTCATAATGTGCTATTCTTGCTTTATACATAACAACCTCTTTAATTTCTTCAAGAATACTATCTAATTTGGAGGTATTTTTATAAGTTCTTACTTATTACCTAAATTATTTTCTGCTAGTGGCAGTTTTTCTGTTTCTTTTGTTTTTTCCTCTTTACGCCCCTAACAGGTTTGGCAGTATGTATTATCTTGGGTCTTGACTCTAATAACTTCTGCCAAAAGTGAGTAATGCTGCATATGTGTAAGAATGCAAGACCTAGCAGCTGACTTGGCTTTCCTGTTCTGCTATGTAGAAGTAGGGTCCTTTCAGCTAGAAGCTCTTCTGAGTGGCATAAGCCCCTGGCATGCCTACTGACAGGCTTTAGGTCCCCTAAAGTGAGCTTCAGAGCACTAATACCATGGAGGACTTAACAACTGTGTACCATGGCACTACACAATTCACTCAGCTTGTTCCAACCAAGTCATGTCCAACTCTTTGTGACCCCACGGACTGCAGCATGCCAGGCTTCTCTGTCTTTCATTGTCTCCCCGAGTTCGCTCAAACTCTTGTCCACTGAGTCAGTGATGCCATCCAACCATCTCATCCTCTGTCACTCCCCTCTCCCCCTGCCCTCAATCTTTCCCATCATCAGTGTCTTTTCCAATGAGTCAGCTCTTCACGCCAGGTGGCCAAGTATTGGAACTTCAGCTTCAGCATCAGTTCTTCCAGTAAATATTCAGGGTTGATATCCTTTAGGATTGACTGGTTTGATCTCCTTGCTGTCCAAGGGACCCTCAAGAGTCTTCTCCAGCACCATAGTTTGAAAGCATCAGTCTTTATGCAGCACTCAGTCTTCTTTATGGTCCAATTCTCACATCCATAGATGACTACTGGAAAAACCATACCTTTAACTCTATGAATCTTTGTTGGCAAACTGATGTCTCTGCTTTTTAATACACTGCCTAGGTTTGGCACAGTTTTGCTTTCAAGGAGCAAGCATCTTTTCATTTCATGGCTGCAGTCACCATCCACAGTGATTTTGGAACCGAAGAATATAAAATCTGCCACTGTTTCCACTTCTTCCCCATCTATCTGTCATGAAGTAATGGGACCAGATGCCATGATCTTAGTTTTTTGAATGCTGAGTTTTAAGCCAGCTTTTTCATGCTCCTTTCATCCGCATGAAGATGCTCTTTAGTTTCTCTTCACTTTCTGCCATCAGGGTGGTTATCATCTGCATATCTGAGGTTGTTGATATTTCTCCCTGCAATCTTGATTCTAGCTTGTGAGTCATCCAGTCCAGCATTTTGCAGGAGGTACTCTGCATATAAGTTAAATAAGCAGCGTGACAATACACAGCCTTGATGTACTCCTTTCCCAATTTTGAGCCAGTCTGGTTCCATGTCTGGTTCTAACTGTTGCTCTGGACAGATTTTTCAGGTAAGGTGGTCTGGTATTCCCATCTCTGTAAGAATTCTCCACAGTTTGTTGTGATCCACACAACGGCTTTAGCATAGTCAATAAAGCAGAAGTAGATGTTTTTCTGGAATTCCCTTGCTTTTTCTATGATCCAATGGATGTTGGAAATTTGAACTCTGGTTCCTCTGCCTTTTCTAAATTCAGGTTGTATATCTGGAAGTTCTTGATTCAAATACTGTTGAAGCCTAGCTTGAAGGATTTTGAGCATTACCTTACTATCACATGAAATGAGCACAACTGTATGGTAGTTTGAACATTCTTTGGCATTGCCCTTCTTTGGGATTGGAATGAAGACTGACCTTTTCCAGACCCATGGCCACTGTTGACTTTTCCAAATTTGCTGGCATATTGAGGGCAGCACTTTCACAGCATCATCTTTTAGGATTTGAAAGAGCTCAACTGGAATTCCATCACCTCCACTAGCTTTGTTTATAGTAATGCTTTCTAAGGCCCACTTGGCTTCACACTCCAGGATGTCTGGCTCTGGGTGAGTGATCACACCATTATAGTTATCTGGGTCATTAATACCTTTTTTATATAGTTCTTCTGTGTATTCTTGCCACCTCTTCTTAACAGCTTCTGCTTCTGTTAGGTCCCTGCTGTTTCTGTCCTTTATTGTGCCCATCTTTACATGAAATGTTCCCCTGGTATCGTCAATTTTCTTGAAGAGCTCTCCAGACTTTCTCATTCTATTGTTTTCCCTCTATTTCTCTGCACTGTTCATTTAAGAAGGCTTTCTTATCTCTCCTTGCTATTCTCTGGAACTCTGCATTCAGCTGGGTATATCTTTCCCTTTCTACTTTGCCTTTCGCTTCTCTTCTTAGCTCAGCCTGTAAGGAGCCTGTAAGGCCTCCTCAGACAATCACTTCGCCTTCTTGTATTTCTTTTTCTTTGGGATGGTTTTGGTCAGCATCTCTTGTACAATGTTATGAACCTCTGTCCACAGTTCTTCAGGCACTCTGTCTACCAGATCCCATCCCTTGAACTGCTCATCACCTCCACTGTAAAACCATAAGGGATTTGACTTAGGTCATACATGAATAACCTAGTGGTTTTCCCTACTTTCTTTAATTTAAGCCTGAATTTTGCAATGAGAAGCTCGTGATCTCAGCCACAGTCAGCTTCAGGTCTTGTTTTTGCAGACTGTATAACCTTCTCCATCTCCGGCTATAAAGAATATCATCAGTCTGATTTCAACTTATGTAACAAAGAACACATTCATTTTCTTTTGATACAGGAATGACTGCTTGTATTCTGTAATGTAAGAATCAAAAGTTGCTGACAGAACTGTTTTGATTATAGATCTTCTGTGAATTCATCATTTTCAGTTTTACCTCTTCCTCATGCACTCTGTAACTCATATGACAACTCTAAGCCTAAGGTCTCTTTTGGGTTCTAATGGACAGACTGGCTCCCACCTTGGACTCCTTACACAAACTATGGGCTCCTACTTCCTTTATGTCCTTTCATCAATCAAACCACTTGTGACCAAATTTGTGGAGATCTCTTATGAATAAGAGTATCTTCTCTTCCTCAGCTTCCTTCCTCTGTACGCTTTTTGTTTATTCATTACCTACTGTTCTTTTATTTCAGTGAGACATGACAGCCATGAATTAAGGCATTACTCAATCCAATATCTTCAGAATTCCACGTAAGACTGGGCCTCCAGGCTATTCTGCAAACGTCACGGCTACTTTTTTGTCTTCTGCTACAGGTCCCTCAGATAGAGACTGATGTTTCTGTCATACACTATGTACTGCAGGGTGATGAGACAGATACTCTTCTTTTTCCTAAGGACTACTTTTAGACTATTATCCTACTTTCTTATAAAAATCCCTTGCTCCACTGAGGTGCTCACTCTCTGAATAATGTCATGTTGTCATTACCAAGAGCCATCTAGCAACACGGAACCTTTGGCTGCTGGCTCACCATTCTCCTCTCCATGCTATTATCAAACGCGGCCACCACAAAATCCATGTCTGTAACGTATCTAAGCCTTTGGCTCCTTGGTGCCTCACCTGCTCCATCACTAGTAAACCCCTCTCTGCCACCTCAGTGACCACTCCCACGGATCTACCCTTGGTTTTGTCATACCAGCAACTGAACCGCTTCCAAAATCACCAATACAAATGGGTATTTCCTTCTCCAAATACAAGGACCTAATTCTCCCAGCTCACTTGCTTAAGAAACCAATTATAACAAGTATGAAGAAATATGGTAATAAGCTCTTTCCTTAATTACCTACAATTACTTCCTATCTTTCTTTACTCTTCAAATCCTCTTGCCCTTCTCACTGAATCCTCACTCTCAGCTAATAACCTTGCCCTTTACATACACTCTGCATACCATTGCTTCTCTCCTTCTCAAAACTTTTTTCTATTGGCTATATAGTCCGTTTCCCACATTTTTAACCTCTTTCTCTCAACTGACTTCCTGTTAGCATTAAAAAAAAAACCCCAGTATCTCAGATTTTTTAAAAGTCTTCTTTAGATGCACCGCACATAAACATATCTGCCTCTAACTTACTTTTACTTTTCTTATTTTTTGTTGTTTTTACTTTATCATTTTATATTGATAACATTCTTAAATACAGAATAATTTTTACTGATATACATACTACCATATGTAAAATAGATAAACAACAACAAGGACCTACTGTATATGCTTCTAACTTCTGACCAGTCCTCTCAACACTCCCCACAACTTGAATATTTTATTTATGATATTTATGACCACTTCTCCAGAAGGCTAAGCTGCATGGGGCAAAAATCTGTGTATAATGATCGCATGCTAACACTGGCCATAGAGATAATGCCTGGCAGAAAACTCCATAAATATTCTCTGAATGGATAATAACTCAAAATTACCATTCAGAGTAGATTTGTCACTGGTTATAGAATACTAAAATCTTTAAACTGTGACTCAGTCTTGATTTAAATAATCTGCCCCTCTATTTCTTAGTATAGTTGTTTTAAAATTCTGATGCTAAGTTGAATGACAGCATTAGCTCACCCATATCATTCTCTTTCCCTCCTTCCTGGGAAAGAGTGGCCCCTGAAACCATGGAGGATGTGGAATTGGCTGGCAGGTATCCAATGTCTGCTCCTTCGCTTGCTAATCCACTTTGGCGCAACTTCGCAGAGTCCTGGGGTTCAGGACTCACGGATGAGGGTGTGGACAAGTGCTTAGGGTGGCGCTGCTTCTGTAGTTCCATGGCTCTGCCAACTGAACAGAAAGCAATGGTTAATAAATCATGTGGCAAAACAGCTTTAAAAAAGATGAAAAGAATTTAGAAAGAACATGGTGGGCCCTAGAAACATATAACATGAATTACACAGAGCGAGGAAGAGATAGATAGATAGAAAGGTAGGAAAGAAGGGAGAAAAAAAAGTAAGGAAGAAAGAAAGAGAAGGACGGGGGGGGGGGGGGTGGAGAGAGAGAGAGAAAGGCAGGGGAGAGCGAAAGAGGAGGAGGAGAAAAGGGTGGGAGATGGCAGAAGCCGAGGCGGAGCGAGGAGGCAGAGGACGAAGGGTCCTGAGGAAAGGGGCTGAGAAGACCAGCACTGGGTGGGGGACAGGGGACACCGACAGACAGCGATGGACACACACAGAGCTGGTTCCTGTCAGGGTGAAGAGGAAGCCCGCTGGCTCTGTGAGCTCTTAGCAAGCCCCCACCCCACTCCTCCCTAACACTCACAATTTCTTCATCGTGACATGCCTCAGAGACCATGCAGAATAATTCCCATCCTGCCTGTACCAGTGTTCACATCAGTCACCATGAGAAGCACCCCATAGCCGTGCGTATCTTCACATAGCTCTATACATCTCTAATCCTAAAATTGTTCCCTCCCTAACTCCTACAATTCTTCTTCTGAATCCCTTGGAACTCATGGTTACCATCTGTTAAATTTTCCATTCTCCTCAACCTCTTCTCTAAAGATTTCCTTCATCTTCTCAGTGTTTCTCAACAAGGGGCATCGTGACATTTGAATGAGGATTCTTCACAGGGTGGGACACTCAGGTTTGCTGGATCACAACACCCGCCCCCACCTCCAACCGTGCCAGTATTTTCAAATGTGGTACTGCCCAATGTGAGGACCACTATAGGACTTAATTTCTCTCCCCGTGGCACTAGCTCTACTTCTCCTGTAGCCCTCTCTAGGACAGCAACTCTCCGTTAGGCCTGAGGGTGGAGGCACATCAGGAAATAAAGCACAATGAAGAGATGGACAACAGTGTAAGTATGGAGAAAATGAGTCATATATGTATAAAAAGACAAAGTATGATGTTGAAGTTCATGTACATTTTGTTTTGTAAATTTAACAATCAGAAAGTGAATGCAAACAAAATCAGAATAGGTAAGTAAATTTTATTATAAACAGCTGATGGGATGTTCTACTGCCATTAAACACTTATGACAACTGTCAAGTCTAACTGAACACCAGTTAGAAATGACACTGAATAGAAATAATGGAGGTTCAGTGGAAACATTTCTAGAACATCTTTCTCCAGCAACCCAACCTAGCTAAATGAGCCTCTGATATAAAGACGGCATGGAATGGTGGGAATGCAGCATTTCAAACTTCAACATACTTGCACTGTTGTCATGGCGGCTTGGTCTCCGAGGGGGTCCCAAGATGCTGGTGAATCCTCTTCGCTTCCCTTTTTCTTCGCCTTCCCTATCTTTCTTCATACTTTGCTAGAATCAAGGTACAATCAAAGAGATAAGAGATGCACAATTCTGATGGTCAAGTTGAAAGAAACTGACTACATGTAAATGAAATAAACACACAGGGTCTTTGGAGGCTGGCACACAGTACTATGTACACATCAAAATCAAGATGCCTTTTCAAACCCTTCAGAGCTGACAGTTTTGCAAAGTAAAAGGTATTTTTATAACACATTTACTGGGAGCTTGTTTTAAGTAATTTATTCATCTCTTGAATAATATTTGCTAAGCTAATAATGTCTGAAGGCACTATGCTAAAAGATGGGTTACAATGAAGGAGGTCCTTATCTTCATCCAGCTTTACAATCTAACAACATAAATAATTACAAACATTGAGAGCCGTAAAAGAAAAGCACGGGGTCAAAACCAAGCTGAGGATAGCTCTCTGTGTAAACTCCTGTTTTCACTTTTCATATCATCTAACAATTAGTTCGCACGTCTGGATTTCTCACTGGATTTTGAGTTTCTTGAGAACAGGGACCGTATCTTATTCCTGCTGGCACGCTTCACACCAATTTGCTGAAAAAGTAAGCACTAAGAAGAAGGAAAGCCCTGCAGTCAGAGGTAAGAAGCATGGCGACCTGAACACACTATTATTATTCCAGTTTTACCTTGATTTTTGGAAGGAATCCAATCCGACCTCGCTTGTGCTCCAAATTTCGAGGTTCTTTCACTTTTACTCCCAAATGTTTCATGTACATGAGAATAACATATTGCATTGTCGAACTGGGAGAGAAAGGATTAAGTAAAATAAGACTTCTGGGAAGGGACAGTGGGTAAATAAAGATACCAAATGACTTCCATAACCTCCATGCTGAAAGTCTTAGAATTCATCAAGTGAAAAATAAAGAGCTATCTACTCACTGTGACCAGTAAAGATTCTACTCAAGATACTAGAATATCAGTCACATAAAATACAAGCCACCAGAGACAGTCTATATTTTTAAGTTAAAAGAAATAAATCTTAATTTAGGACAGAAGAAAAGACAGTTTCTTTTCTTTTTTTGGTCCTTAAAATTCAAGGAAAAAATAGTTACATTACCTCTTTTCTTCTTCTACAGCCTGAGCAGTCATCCTAAAAATAAAAGCATTTAAAATGAAGTATTACAGTTTAATAAAAGAGTTGTTACTAAACTCAGATAACTGATCAACAAAACAGAGTCAAGTCCACGGAATTCTCCAGGCAAGAATACTGCAGTGAACAACCATTCCCTTCTCCAGGGGATCTTCACGACCCAGGGATCAAACCTAGGCCTTCCACGTTGCAGGCAGATTCTTTACCATTTGAGCCAGCAGGGAGGCCCTGTGGCACAGTAAGCGCTTGGGACCCACTCTAAGTCTCTGTCACCTGGGGTGATGCATCAGAAAAACTGTGATCCCGGAAGGGTCACCTTTTCGTCATCACCTTGCTATAGATGTTTCATAGCAAGAAATATTTTCAAAGCCTGTGAATTAAAGCCAATGTAAGTATTCAACCTGTTTCTGATCAGTTAGAAATTCTATAGTTACTCATTTTAGCAATACCCAGAAAAAGAAATACAAGAACATCATCTACAATATCAGCATAAACTTAAGATACCAGCTTCTCAAGTATTATCACAAGGTAAACAGCTCTACATAGACAACCTGACACCCCTTCTAAATTTGTTCAAAATGTACTTTACACATAATTATCATCTCAGTAGAGGGGGCGTTTCTACGTGTATTTCTATTACTTACAACACTTCTTCAATTTTGGCAACAATCTGTTCTGCACATGCCCGTTCTTTCTCCAAAGTTAACCGGTCCTTGTCTCGCTCCACATCAAGTTTCGTCAGTTCGCTTTCAGCCAAGGTCAGCCCCATGCTGCGCTTCTGCCTAAAGGGAATAGGAGAAACTTCCTGAGGTAGCCTGCAGAAAAACTATCTCCCTCTGGAGATGCTTCATCGGGGTTTCCATAGTTATGAATTTCTAGCAACAGGTAAAACGTCATCGTTTTTCTACTTGGGGGCCCATGTCACCTGGGACACTGCAGGAAGAAAATTCTAGAGGAAGTCACTCAACAGAATACATATCTTGAAGGACACATTTGGCACAGATAGGTACTAAGCTCAATTCCTGCCAGCCATAAGGAAAGGGGACCATGCACTCTCAGTACCATTCCAAACTTTCGATGCCAGAAGTTCATTAGGTTTTAGTAACAGTGATAGAGACCATATGTTATGCCAAGGAATGTATAACCTTTTCCTACCTAAAAAGAAGATTAATTCAGGACGACCATATCAGCTTCTGTAGACCACGAGGCTTACCGAAAATCCTCCAAGTGCCTCTGAACTTCTGGGTGGACTCTTTCTTGCATAGTTTGGATATAGTGGCGATGTAGATCCTCAGGAATAAGCTCTGGTCTTCTTTTTTCTGCATAAATACAAGAAATCACTTGATCTAAAGGCACATTCTGTGCATTGTAACTGGCACTATTTGGTGTAAACTTAACTTGAAGTAAGATAAAGAGATAATCAATATATTTTAAGTATTTTATCTCAGAATTCACATTTCATTTACTCTTAAATGTATTATAGGTTCTTTTACTGTTGTGATTCATATGACCTCCTAGTCACGGTGTAACAGATAAAACCTTTATAGAAGTGCTGAGCTACCTATCTACAGAGATGTAATCCTCTAGCACATTGGTGCTCCAGACTTACCTAGATCTACAGATATTTCATCAGGAACAGAAACTTTCAGGTGCTAAAACAAAAATGCAGACAAAAAGTGAAATTGCACCAAGAGTCTTTCAGGATGCATATAAGTACTCACAAGAAATAGAGAAAAAACGTGAATACCTACATTTATAAGCATATTCATGTATAAGCTCATTTTTGGGGTACCACCCATCTAAATTTCCCAGCTTTGGAATATTCTATGGTTTGAACTTGAAAATAAGCCCTTTCCCGGAGGATCATGTTATAAAGGAAATACCTACAATCCGTTTTACTAGATGACTGAATGCTTTTGTGCCTTACTCATTCCTGTTGGCTTTGGCTTTCTAGAATGAACAAATATTGGTTTCGGCTTTCGAAAATCACTGGTTAAGATAATCAGTCACACACAGTTTGAATCAATATAGGTAAAAATCTAAACTAGATGTAGATTACCATATGAAAAACTTACTCATGTATAACAATTTTATTCACTGTATTTGAGACACTCACAATGAAGACCATGATATTCCCAATCATATTGGTATATAAAGCTAAAGAACCCTCACAAGAAGTCATACTCCGAACGAGAAAGTATTGGATATCAGTGTTGAAACTCTGGAGTCTTAAACCTCTAGTTCTTACATCTGCAGTTTTTACTATTGAAATAAGATGACTGTGTCATAATTTACTTCTTCTTAGCTATGTTTTTTTCACATGATAACTGCAGTTTGTGATCCCATTACCAGACAATTTTCTTCTGTTAATTTGGGAAATGTCTCAGAAAAAATTATTTTGCATTTGGAGAAAATATATTATCTTCTTCAAATTTACTCTGTATTATACACCCACTTAAGTCATATCCTTCCAGAATTTAAAAAAAAAATTAATGTAAGATCTGAAGTTTTACATCTGAAAATAAGTTACAGCTAAAAATTAAGAAAGCTCTAATATTTATTTGAAGAGCAGTTGAAATGGATTTCAAAGTTTTCTCTTTATCTGAAGTTGCCATAAAGTAGCTCAAGCCAACTTTCCAGAAGTACTTCTAGCACAAATGCAAGAAAGTATATATATGTTCATTTCTGTATGTGGGTATTTATATGAAATAATATCACCTGTGGCATAAAAGAATAATTAGCAAATTAATCTAGCAGGGTTCTTACACTTTGATGTTAATAAGCTTATATAGATCACGAGCAGCAAAATACAAGACATCACCTGGTCTAAAGGCACATTCTGTGCCTTAGCATGGAATGCTCTAAAGAAACATCAAGTTCATATAAACTTCAGTATACTGTCATTTCTTCATGGAAGAAAATCATCTTCATATATATAACATGTAATATTTTAAACAGTGGCATTATAATCAGAATCCTAACTAATCCATTCAGCAACTATCTGAGTGACCACTCTGTCAGGATCTATTCAGTTTTGGGGAAACAGCAGTGAACAAACAGAACAAAAGATATCTGCCCTAATGGAGCTTACATTCAGGGCAGAAGAGCAGGAATATAGACAGATAAAATAAAGAAAAAAATATAAATTCTATGGACAAAAATAACACAGGAAAGGTAACAGAAAGCAAGGGGGATGAAATTTTAAGTAAATTGGTCAGAGAAGGCCTCACTGAGAAGGTAACTGTATTCAGCCATGTGTAGGTGTAGAGGCAGCTTTGTAATAAAATACAAAGAATATAGGGCAAGTGCTGGAGGAAGAGGGGGAGCCAAAATGTTTCTGTGTGAGTCTGTTTAAGGTGGGAGAAATAATCATGTCTGCATACGAACAGGACTGATTCAGTAGAAAACAAAAGAACTGATGATGCAGGAGAGAAGGGGTACGTTTGCCAGAACAGAATCTTTGAGTAGGTATAAGAAAACATAATCTGGATAAACAGGGGAAGAGGTGGTCTTGAACTAAAAGCAGAACAATTCCTATATGTCATCAGGAGAGAGGGTTGAGCGTACTGTATGACAGAGGTAGGGTGATACCTCTGGTAGAAGTTATCTTCTGTATGCTTTAAATTTCTCAAAAAAACAGGAAGGTCATCAGTTGAGAAAAGAACAAGAGAGGAATTAATGGAGAGTTTAAAAGAGAGAAGGTGTGAAACAGTCAACTGAAAGAACTGCAAATATGAAAGGACTAGAGATATGCAGCATGATTATCAGAGACGTATTAAGGGCTGTTATTTACCCTAGAGCAAGGCTAATAATAAAACACATTAGTTTAAAAACCTTATTAAGATTTCTATTGGTAAAATAAAACACTATTATCTACCATCATTTATATGAGTAAGATCTTTTCCATCCCTTTTAGTTAAACTTGGGCCTCCAAACTTCAAAGAGGCCAACCAGAGTCAAATTATACAAGTACTAACCTTTGGATCTTAATATATATTTATATATACACATATGTATTGTATTCTCTTTTTCATTCCCTTATCCTAAATATGCATACTTATAAACATATAGATATGTTTATACACCTTAAAACCTATTGTGAGAATTTATATGCCTATAACTAACTTAGAAATGATAAAAAATAAGTCATGAGTAACCAATAATTGAGATATAATACAGACATCAGAAAGCACAATAAAGTCCAAAAACATGGGAGGGAAGATTGGAAGTTAGGAGGCCAATAATTCAGTGTACTGAAGCAAAGATTATAATATTAACTTGGTAACTTACCGCAGATCGATCCAGGAAGAACTGATGAAACTCAAGGAAGACACGACGGGTCTCCTTGGAATTGGTCTGTTTATATAGGTCTGAATAGAGATAACAGAGCTGTAGTGGAGAAAGAAATGGGGAAGAAATTATGAAAAATGTCATCTGCTAGATCCTCAATGAGTATAAATGTCTGAAACAAGTAGGTCACCATGAACAATGCAGTTATTACCATGTAACCAAATCTTTAAAAATTAAATTAGTAACATTTTAATCATCTTTCATAATTAATTTAGAAAACTGACAGAAGTTTATCTACCCATCTTGCTAAAACTGAAAAGTTTCATGGCATTTGAATCAATTAAGAACTCTAAACTGGCTAAATCATAAAATATATTACCAATGTTGCAGGGTCAAACTGGGAAACTACATGGTGTAAGAAAACAGCCAAGTGAGCCGGGCGAGATTTTAGCAGTTCAATGCTCTGAAAACAGCTGCACTGCCCATTGATCTAGAAAAAGAAATAAATATACATTAGTAACACCAACACATAAATGCAAAATGTAATGTCAGCTCAGTTAAATATGACTATCCCAATTTCACTTTGACCTATCCTAAAAACTTTAAGGTTTAAAAAAACTTCACAAGAATTTATTATAAGCAACATGGGCTATGGAATCTATTCCTCTGAAAAGTATCTCTTGGAAACAGGTTGGAAGAAAGACCATCCTGGGAGAATGTAAGTCCAGAATATAATTATCAAAGAGCTCACAGGTCTACAAATCAGTACAGAAAAAAAAACAGGTTAATAACACTTCTAAAAATGTCAAGGGAGGCTTTTTGCCTAATAACAAAATAGGTGTCTTCCTTTCAGGCTAATCATAGAGACAGTGGTAGGAAATGGAGTTGTGCGATTTTAATAAGACGGCTCCTAGAATACTTGTATGTTTCCAAACTGCAATGAACACAGAAAGCAGCAAGAATTGACCTTAACCTAGAATCATAGAATCATGTAAGTTAATCTAAACAAGTAACACCCATTCTGCACAATCTCTTTCAGACAATATAAGAGGAGTAAAACTTCTCAACTCATTCTAAGAGCTCAGAATCAACCAACTATCAAAACCAAAGATATTACAAAAAAAGAAAACTACAGACTACTATTCCCTATAAACACACACACAAAAATCCTCAGCAAAATAATAGGACTGAATCCAGCAATATTGGAAAAAGGAAAATATATTATGACTAACAGGGGTTTCTCCCAGGAATGAAACAGGAATAGCTGTTTCCAAATGCTAATAACATCAATTAATGTAATTTACCATTATATTTAGTTACACGTAAATTACATTAATGTAATGTAAATTTAATAACAACATATGATGATCTCAGTCATTCAACAAAATTCAACATCTATTCATGATAAAACTCCTATCAAACTAAAAATAGAAGGAAACTTCCTCAATTAAAAAAAAGCATCTACAAAAACCAATGGCTAACATCATATTAATAATAAATGACTGAATGCATTCTTCCTAAGATTGAGAATAAGGCCAGGATGCCCTGTCTCACCACAGTGATTCAGCCTCAGACTGGAAATCCTAACTAGCGCAGTAAAGGTAATAACAAGAAATAAAAGATAAATGCTGGGAAACAAGAAAATAAAAACTGTCACAGTATTTACATAGAAAAATCTTAAAAAGTTATTTTAAAAACCTTTTTGAAGTAGTGAGTTTACTAAAAGATCACGTGAGCTTACTAAAAAGGACAAGAATAAAGCCAATCACATTCCTATATACCATCAATAAACAACCAGAATTTGAAAATTAAAAAAAAAAATTCATAAGAACATCCCCCTTCTCCCAAGACAAAATACTTAGGTAAAAATCAATGACTTCTTATCAGCTTCAAGAGAAAGGCCATTTCTATTGGTCAAAGCTAAAATAAGCAATTAACCCAAGCAATTAACCAATTAATCTTAGTTCTAAGACTTGAGCTTTAAATCCTTATAATTTCAATCTCCAGAAAGTGTTCATTTTTGCAATAAATCAAACATCTTAGAAAATTAATCATTTGTTTTTTACAAAGAAAAAGTCATCACCTGTTCATGTTCACTACCAAAGTCATCGTCCTCTGCTCCAATAATATGAGGTGGCACACGGGTAGAGGGACTCCCAACAAGTGACTGAGTGTCCTGGAAACATTCATAGAGAAGGAAGGGAAAAACTGCCTGGTGGTCAATTTCAGAGACAGAATAAAGCCAAACTATCAACAAGACATGGTTCACGAAACTGACTGGATTTCTTTTCCTTTTCTTTAGGTACTTTATTTTCAAAGTGGTTCTCAAACTTTCCAGTATTGATTGGTTCTTGGTCAGGGGGAGGGGGAGAAAATATTTCCCCCAGAAATAATAAACACCTTTGTTTATCTGGTTCTAATCCCTCTCTTTAGGCTTCATTTATTGTTTCACATATATCTGGACCTTGTTACAAAAAGAAATTAAGCTGGCTTACACTAACAGTTACAATTTTTAACAGTGAATGAAGGCAACAGGACAAAGGAAAAATGGTACTGTTGACATTTTGGGCCAGACGATTCTTCGTTGTGGGGGCTGTCCTATGCACTGTAGAATAAGGAGCAGCATACTTGGCCACTGCCCACCCACTAGATGCCAGGAGCAGCCTCCCAGTCATGACAATCAAAAATGTGTCCAGACCTTGCCAAATGAGCCCTGAGGGACAAAATCATTCCTGGTTGAAAATCATTGGCATAATGCAATAAAATGTTCAAGTAATCACACAAACACTGCTATAGAAACGATGGTAACAAGATTGTAAAAATAAATTGTAGGCTGGCAGCCCTCACTCCTATGCAACAGATCATCCATGTGTCAATTCACTTACAAATTTGGATTTAGCATGAAAAGGGGAATGTTGGAACATTAGTGTATAATGCAAAAAGTATGGGATATTTGCATACCACAAATACAGTAATGAAAGTCCATATAGTACTAAGAGAAATAGTAAATTTGGAACAAATATGAAAAAAAATGAGTTTGGCTCAAACCTGACAGCAGTTGAATGCTGTAGGATCTGGGGCTGAGCAAAGAGAGTGAGGCTATGGTGACGTGGGGGTTATCGGCACAGCAGTTACAGCTGAAACTATGTACATGGACCCACAAGCTATAAATTAAGTGACTAATAAACACATAGCTGCATTTTTTCTTCCTTAAGTGTGTTGCAACTCTAAGTATTTGCACTGCCTAAACTTGATTCTGCCTTTCTGTACTCTTGCTTTTTAAACCACAAGGCTTTAATAATATTTTTTAAAAAATCAGGTGAAGCAGAAATTTTATTTCTTTAGAGTATTAGTGAGACAACTTTTCATTTTACAGCAGACTTGAGGTTTCTGATTTTTCAATAGTCCTTATGTTGCTAACAAGAGACGAATCATAATATGTTATTAAATCTTTTACTATAAAAATTACAAGTCCTAATTTTAAAAAATAAAATCAAAATGCTAAAAATAATCAGTTAGGGATTTACAAGATCTAGCAACTCCATTTCTGATTCATATACTCAAAAGAACTGAAGGAAGAACTTAAACGGGTATTTATTTATACATGCATCTTCAGAGTAGCATTATTCATGACAGCCAGAGGTGGAATCAACCCAAGTTTTCACTGATGAAGGACAAACCAAATGCAGTAAATACACACATAGATTATTACTCAGCCTTAAAAGCGAGGGAACTCTGATACACGCTAAATCACTCATCAAACTTGAAGAATGATGCTCAGTGAAATAAGCTGGCCACAAAAGGACAAATATCATATATTCTACTTATTACGCAGTTCCTAGTCAGATTCGAAGAGACAGAAACTAGAATGGTGTTTGCCAGGGCTGGAGAAAGAAAATAATGGAAGTTAGTGTTTAGTGGACACCAAGTTTCAGTTGGGGAAGGTGAAAAAATTTTAGAGACAGATGTGCTGATGGTTGCATAATGATGTGAATCTAACTTAATGACAATGAACTTAAAGATGGTTAAAATAGTATATTTTATTTGTATTTTACTATAAAAAATTTAACCACATAATAATACTAACTATGGAGCAGCTCTCTATTTTCCAATCTTTATTAAGTTCCTTTAATAAATTTAAGTTTTTTCTCCAAATTAAAAAAAAATATACACACACACATCAGTTAAGTCTGTCATTTAAGTATAAGGAAAGTCACTATCATTTCATTGATTTCATACTCACAGTGTCCTGAATTGCTTCACTTTTCTCTGGGTTTTCCTCTAGATAAATCCTCTCTTTCAAGCCACTCTTGGGACTCTAATGAAAATAAAAAAAACAAAAAACGACGTGTTCAACAGGCCCACCAAAGGAGATAAGAAAAAGCAATGTGAAAGAATAATGTTCTGAATGTCACATCTGTGTCTGAAACTACTAAATATCTTTCATATAATACTTGGCTCTGCTACTTTTTATCTGACTTTGGCAAGTCATTTATTCTCTTAGGCTTTTAAGTCTTATGTTGATAAAATAATTTCATCTTCAGGCTTGAGGGTTAATTTCTATCAAATAATTCTAATCATATATTACATATTTCAAGCTCATTAAGTCAAAATCAAACTCTACTTCCTCTAAATCCCCCTGTCCCAAACTATTCTTTCTATCCAAGTTAAAAGCATTCTAGCCTATTTATATGAAGGAAAATGAGTTTCTATTTTTCTGTTACTACCTTATATAAACTGATCTATGGATTCTTATAAAATTTATATGGTATGTTTGGGATGACCTAATGTAAAATACACACTATATGATACACAAAGCTTCAATTCTGGGGGATAAGGAACACTCCAAGTAATGGGAGCCATTCTTCAGAGCAGCTGAAAATGAGACGCAAGAAATTTTTGTGTGAATGCCTATATAGAAGATATATGCTATCTGTATATATAATGTATACAAGGTAGAACAGTAATTTCAAATATAAGCCCCACCTGGGAGAAATGGATGATTCTGGGTTAAGAGGTAGGACAGATCAAGCTAGAATAATCTTATCACACCAAAAAGAAAGAAACCTACGTTACTGGGGAGTCATGTCAAAAGAACACAGAAAACAACTTGAGAAGGAGCACACCGGTCCCCTCAAAAGGGACAATTTAACAAAAGCATCAAAAAGAAAGATGACTGTGACGGACTGAGATGCAGTAAGAAACAGGTTAAAAATCTATGAGTTCAAAATATTACACATCTACACACATGTGTGCAAACATCCCCACATTTAGTGACCTTTGGATTATGTCAGGGCACCAACTCTTCTGAAAACAGATATGTAAGGGAAAATAATCAAATATTTATCCTGAATTTCCTGTATAAGCTGTATTTTACAGCAACTTAAAAGCTAGAAGGAAAAATTCTTTATAAAATAATTCCATCTAATGAATACAGGAAGAATGACAAGATTATATCATTTTGAAATCCCTTATTAAATAATAGATGCAGGCATTTTTGCTATCAATGGAAGTAAAAACATTAGATAAAAACTTAGTGGAGAAATTTATAAGGAAGGAATTATGCTGATAGAATCTGCATACCTTATACAAACTTAACAATTATAAAAAGACAACCAGACATTCTCCCCCTAATGTGATGTAACAGGATATACACAGTACCACCCATGAATTGTTCTTGCCAAACAACAACCCTCAATCCTTAATCTTTTCAAGACTCTAGATCTTACTATCAATTTTCAGGAAATACATACCAGAGGAATATGCTTAACACCTCCATGAAAATACAATTAGAATGTGGGTAGTTCTATTGGACATATGACCCAGCTTAACAAAAAAAAAAAATAGTAAGAAGAAAAAATGAGAAGGGAACTATCATAAATGAAGAGACTTATCAACCAAAGACTGAAGCTGTTGACTGGTTCCTGACTCAAATAAACCTACTGTAAAAAGATTATTATAAGACTATTAGGCTAATCACATTGCATATTAAGAAAATATTAATGAAGATTTGATAATGCTTCTATGGCTTTAACTTTTTAAGTCTTTTTTTCCTTCCAAAGATGCATGTTAATGAAATAATATCTTGAATTTACTTTAAAATGTCCAGGATCTGGAGAGTACAAGGAATGAAGGAATACAGACAAAAATAAGTACTTATTGATGACTCTGAGCTGGGTGATTAGGTACATGCAGGAGTTTATTATCTTAGTCTATTTTTGAGTAAGTTTGGAATTTTTCAACATAACTTATTTTTAAAATTATCTATTTATTTTTGGCTGCACTAGGTCTTTGTTGCTGCTCATGGGCTTCTTCTAGTTGTGTGTGGGGCTTCTCTCTAACTGAGGTGGACATGCTTCTCATTGCGGTGGCTCCTCTTGTGAAGCATGGGTTCTAGGCACACAGGCTTCAGCAGCTGTAGTGTGGGGGCTCAGTAGCTGTGGCACGAGGGCTCTAGAGTATGGGCTCAGTAGTTGAGGCACATGGGTTTAACTGCCTTGCAGCGTGTGGGATCTTAGTTCCTGGACCAGGGATGAAACCTGTGTCCCTTGCATTGGTAGGTGGACTCTTAGCCACTGGATCACCAGAGAAATTCCTCAAAGTAACTTTTAAATTAAACGTCAGCTGCAAAATGAAAATCAAAGAGGCAAATGCTCTAAGTTTTAGATGATAACTTGCGATCAAAGGAAATCAGTCCTGAATATTCACTGGAAGGACTGATGCTGAACCTGAAGCTCCAATACTTTGGCCACCTGATGTGAAGAACTGACTCATTAGAAAAGGACCTGATGTTGGGAAATATTGAAGGCAGGAGGATAAGGGGATGATAGAGGATGAGATGGTTGGATGCCATCACCAACTTGATAGACAGGAGTTTGAGCAAACTCTGGGAGTCGGTGATGGACAGGCGAGCCTGATGTGCTGCAGTCCCCGGGGTCCCAAAGAGTCAGACACGACTGAGCGACTGAACTGAACTGAGCTTCTCCATGAGAAGTACATCCATGGGCATGTGAGCATTCTTTAAAGCCTTCTCTGAGGTGAGCAAGAGCAGGGAATTTCACAATGCTAATGATATCACAAACACCATAAGGAGATTATTTTATAAAAAGGAGCAGAAAATGGAAAAAACGTAAGGCATTGATTGGTTCCTACAATCTTAATACAGTACAACTGAAACAAATATTGAAATCCATAAGATAAAAGCAGCAAATCTCTAGCTTCAAAAAGACACCTGTAGGAATGACATGAGTTTGTTATGTGTTCAGTGAATACCTAGTCTTCACTGTATTGTCTCTCACGTGGATTTCCACATCATCCACTTATTTGGCCTCAATTGCCTCATCTATAGAATGGTGACATTTGCTTCTTTAAGATTACTATGAGAGTTAAAAAGAGTAACTGTAAAGCATTAGGTACAACTACTATCATAAACTAGGTATTCAATAAATGGTGACAATTTATCAGCCATTTAACACACATTTGTCAAGTTCCTCTTGAGCCAAGCAGTCTTCTTTTCTTACTCATCTCCCTGTCTATTTACTTCATTTTTGACACTGACATGTTTCTGGCTGTGCCTCTCTTCTGCATGCAAGATACAGCCCACACTCTACTCATTCACTCTTGTTCAAAGACCAATTAAACACCAAACACATGTCGAACTGTCTGAATTCACTGGAATGTCTGTTTCTACACTCGCCAATTCACTCTGTACTTCATAAAATGATATTTCTAAGCCACAGATTTTATGGTTAACATTTCTGTAAATAAGATAAAATTCAAATTTTTCATTTGCATCACTTGTTCTGAATTCCTACAATCTCACTGCCTTTGTAGATATAAAGTCAAATATGATGAGTGCGTTGCTCTCAAGAAACTTGAGAGCAAGTTTAGAAACATCTAAACTTAGAAACATCTACTACTAGAAACATCTAATGGGAGAGATAAGCCATGAAAACAGAGAGGAGATGCAGCACTGAATCAAAGAGAAGAAATCTGAGGATTCCCAGAAGCAGAACTGCTAGAACAAGTTATAACTTGAACTCGACTTTGCTTCTAAGATCAACTCCAGCCATTTTATCTATTAATATAATCCTAATACACCTGTAAAATTTTCACTGCTCTCCCAAAATGTTATGCATTTTCAGACCTTGGAGCCTTTGAGTGCTGGTATTTTGAAATTAGGTAGAGGCAATCACTTACTAACTGAGTAAGTCTGGCAAGTTAGCTAACTCGATTTGGACTCAGTTTTTTCTTTTGTTTAAGTAATAACAATAGTACTACTTCATCAGGCTGTTCTGAGAATTAACTAAGATAAAAAATGTATAACACCTATTATAGCTGATGGTATTAATACATATGCTCAATAAATGTAAGCTACTATAATTCTTTTCTTGAGGAAAAACTTTAGTCTTTCATCAAGACAATTAGCCTATCTAATCATAAAACTCCTATTAGTATATTTCAAAATAAAAATATCCTCAAATTTTCCTTGCACGAGGAACTGAGTCACTGGGCCTAAGGATCAAGATACCCTGAATGACGGTGGCTTAGACCAGTGGCTTTCAATTTTTTTTTTTTACAACCTCCAATAAGAGAAATTTTACACTAACCAATGTGTACACACACACACACAGAGCTATACATGTGTACAAATGCACACAATATGTGCATGTGTATATACAACAAAAGTCACAAAAAGTAACACCTCCTCTATATGCAAAGCACTCTTATTTCCTATTCTATTCTTTTTTTTAAAATGCTGGCCCCAACCCACTAAACTGATTTTATGACCCACATTGAAAAAAAACACTGACTTACAACAGATTATTTTTTTCATCACTTTTAAGAAGGGTGATCTATTTTGAAGTAATTATTCCTATTACTGCATACTACTTACAATGTATTGCTGAGTATATAACACTGAACTTAGCTTTTAAGTATTCATATAACTGTGATGCTACATCATATTCAGCTTAAAATATTTTATCATCTTAACAACTATCCATGTTCATCTGGCAATTTTTGGGTTAATAAAGAAAGCATTACTAAACATGGGCTATTAACTGAAGTCTAAGAGGACTAAGGCTTTTCCTCTTTGAAATGGCAAAGTGCCCCATGATTCAAGACTGAGTCACTCTGACCACAAATGGAATATTAACATGCTCTTAAAGATATCAACAGTTGGCCTCTCGGTTTAGTAAGAAAGCACCGGCATTATTAACTTCTCTACCCACAAACAAGACGCCTGCTGGGAAATTCCATCTCCTTAAAAGAAACATTTGGCAATGGTGTCCAAGGGAAAAAGTGAACTCTGGAATTAAAAGCTCATATACAACAGGGTCCAGAATTTCTGCTCATCAAATTGCTATATTAAAGGTGATGGGGGCCCTGAGGGGTGGTATAGGGAGGGAGGTGGGAGGGGGGTTCAGGATGGGGGATACACTGTACACCCATGGCTGCTTCATGTCAGTATATGGCAAAGACCACTACAATATTGTACTGTAATTAGCCTCCAATTAAAATATATTAATTAATTAAAAAGATGATGGCGATATAAAGAAAGTAATAAGTATGCCTGTAGTTCCTATAACTTACAATCAAATCTGGAAGTGGGGCTGTAGAGAAAAATACAACAAAATGAAAGCGTAGAACACTTACATCAGCACTGTCACTACTGGGCCGAGAAGTATCTCCGCTGCCGCAGTCAAGTCTGCCGAGTCCATCACCAGTGTCTGCTTCTCCTTCACCGACTGCTAGGCCGTCACCTAATGGCTTGGAGGATGTAACTACAGTTCCATCCTAAAACACATCAGGCACACATACATTAAAAACAAACAACGACAAAAAAACCCTTTCATTACTGACCGAATAAAGAAACAGAGTCACACTGCAACCTCAATGGAGACTGTAAAAAGTTGGCCAGTTTGATGTGATCAAGAATGCTCTACAAGTTCTAAAAGTCAAAGGCATAAATAACTACTAATTCTGTGGTTCTAAAATGGCATGACCTTGAAGACAGGGAAAGTGATATTTCAATAAAGAGAATAAATATTCAAACTTTCAAATAAAAGCAAAAAGATAAAATAGTTTAACTTACATAATTTATATTCCCTGCCTGTTAGTAAAGATAATGACACTATAATTTGTGCTTAATTGCCTTCCAACACTTTACAACTTCAATAAATTGCCAATTCTGGGACGCAAAGCTATACTGCAAATTATTATAAGCTTTTAAATTAGGAATCACAGTTTTACTCCTGGAACAGAGTAAGACTGCTGTCTTTGCTCAGTAATAACAACATAAAACTGTCAATTATTACTAAGGCAGAATACTCAAAACTTCATATAGCTAATGGGACTAAAAGAAACAAGCAAAAAAAGTGTAATGAAAAGTACACTGAACCCGGAAGTCAAGAGGCCTTAAAAATGTGTGATCTTGTGTGAGTCATTTAACCAATTTAGGCGCTGGTTTTCTCAACCATGGCATGATTTTTTTTAAACTTTAAAACGAGCAGATTAGGATAGATGATTTCCGTATGAACCTACAGACCTAACTCATGAAGAATAACAAATAAGCAGCTTTTACTCATTTCTCCATATACCAAATCTAAACATTACAGAATATAATGTCAGAATATAATATACAGAATATAATCTGGTTGACATATAATGCTGAGTTATTCTTCTAACAAGATTATCATCTTCATAACTTACACCTATACAGCAAATCTATTTTTAAATTAAAATAAAAATATAGTCATTAAGAACATGAATGTGCTTTAAATTCGTCAGAATGAGTTTAAATGCCAGTTCCATGTTCCATTTAGCTACACGACCATAGATAAGTTATTTAACTTATCCGAGTTTCTTTAAGTGTTTATGTAAAATGGGGAGAAACAACAGTAATATTTAATCTCAGAGGGTTGTTTTGCAGATTAAGAAAAATTATATATCCCTACTTAAAATATAATTGCCGGTCTGTTTTCAAATGGCAGAATAAATCTCAAAAATGGAAATACACGTATCTAAACACATTTCAGTAATTTGTCGCATCAAAGCAAAAACACTCAATTCATTCTAAAATTACTGTGGAACAAAGAAGCATGATATCATGACCAAACAATCAGAAGCCCACATTTCTTTTCTTTTTTTTTCACATTTCTTTTAGTTGACCATTATTTCTGTAACATCCGACACAGGACATCCTGTTGGCCTATACTAGAAAAAATAACTTTTAAAAAGGGCAACTGTAACACCGTCTGACACATTCCCAGAAGAAAATTCTCCTGCAAAATGGCGTGCAGCACTTTTAATAATGATGTTACCTGAGCAGAGCCTGTGGCTTTGGATAACTGCTCTTGCAGCTGAGGAATGTGTTTCTTGGCCTCTTGGATCTCTTTTAGCAATCTCTGAGCAGGTGTTCGGTTGTAGTCTTCCTGCAATAGCTGAAAAGTTATAAAAATATTTCAAGAATTAACTACTTATGTCAAGAAAATATCTAAAAAGTCCATTCTTAATCAATAAAATAGCTGATGGCACTGACTACCAATAGTGTCTGATTATAAGTACCAACTGAACTATGCCCACTGATGTTTTTACTGGCCTGTAAATAGCCCCATTTCTAACTTAGTACCTGAAGCCGTTCCTGTTCTTTCTGTAACATTTTTCTCAGAATTTCTACTTTCTGGTTATGAACCACATTGTTTTCTTCCTAGAAAAAGAAAACAAACAAACAAACAAAAAAATTAAGAACCAATACAAGGAAAGTGAAGCTAAAATATGTATTGAAAATGAGTCATACAATGTTACATTTCAGCTCCAGTTTTCAATACCTATCATGATTTTCTTTGTTTCCAGTGGTTATGACGCCAAGCTTTCAGGCTTGACACTGAAGATAAAAGGTTGTAGGGAAATTTCAACCTTTCTATCTCACTTTTGATAGAAGACACTAAAATGTTAATATCAGTTGGAGAAATGAAGTTGACTTAAGTATAAGAATAGTATCTTATACTTTGCCTTCCTTTGCATCTTTACTATCAACCCCCTTGGCATGGCTCAAATTCCCAGTATTTCCAACCTGAAGTATTAAGACTGCTCCCTAATTCATCTGCTGCCATTTCTCCCAGTTTTATAACCCTATAATATTTTATCAAATTAGTCGTCCTAAAATCTTGCCATAATCACATCACTCAAAAAATCTGTAATATATACTTAATGATCCAGTTACATGTAAATTAGCTTCATTGTTGAGACTCTTCAAAATAAACAGTCTTACTTTTTCAAGCTCATCTCCTATCATATAAATCTTTAACAGGCACCAGCCAAACAAAAATCCTGGCTATTTCTCCCCAATACTTGATGCCTTCTTGGCGCTTTACCTTTGTTTATCCTACTCTCTACCTGGGTTGCCTTCCTCCCCCTGACCTCCACTGCCACCACTTGGAATGTTAACTGTTCTTCAAAGCTCATTTCAAATAACAACTTTCCATAAAGTCCTTCCTTATTACAACTGGATGTGCTTTCTCCCTCCTTTGAGACCTCACAGAACTTAATATTTTCCTTCTAATAATGTCAACATTTTGCCTTTGTAGTATAATTACCTGCATACCCTTGACTCAACCTCAAACAACAAAGGTTTATTAAATCTAGCACTATATGCCAAGCAATATTGCAGACTCTGGGGAAACACAATAAACAAAAACCCCCCCTTCCTCTTAGAGTATATATTCTAAGAAGACAAAGGACCTTGACCACAGATATTTTAATTATATTTTTGTGGGAGGTACCCTGTTTTGTAGATGGTAAGTGTTAAATATTTGAAGTAAATCTGCCATCCCAATATTGTGCAATCATTTCAATCATTATATAATTTTTTATCAGCAGCAAATTATTTTCTACAATCTTAAACTTTATCAAGTCAACACTTTGAAACTCTTAACATAAAGCAAAGGCATTATTCATTATATAACTGGACATTTACAGAGACATTTTCCCACTCTTACCCCCATGAGCACAGGACTAGTAATTCTCTCCATATTCCCAGATGCTCCAGGTGAATGAGGGGATGTCATGATGGGAGACATATGTCCAACGACTGATGGTTCTACTTCAGAATCAGCAAGTGGAATCTGGGGCGACCCAGGTGGGCGTCCCTGAACAGTGAGAGCTACATAGGAACCAGCTTCGGGGAGAGAGATGGTAGAAAGGGGAGGAAAGGGAGAGTAACATTGTCAAAAAAATTTTATACCATTTTACTACTTAATCTCTGATAGTTCTAAAAGATCTAGTTATGTGAGAAACTTTCATCATCTGCTGGCTAACCATTTCTCCACAGAAAAAGAATCCAATCTGTCATTTTTCTTTTATGACTCCCCTACAAATCTAAAAGAACAATGCGATTTTTAGATAACAAATTATTACTCGTAAGATCAGATATTACTTAAATCTTAAAAGTAAGATTTATAACCCCAATAATTTTTAAAATTTAGATATGAATCAACCACCTACTAATGGCTATGTTCAATTTCTCAAATGGAAATTTAAAAAATCACCATATTAAGATGATACAAATTAGGCAAGGCTTTAACTAACTCTGTAATAATGCCATTTTAAATTAACTTTAAAAAATGAGTGTGACCAAAAAAAAGAGGAAAAAAAGCCACAACAAATAAGTAGTAAGTTTCAATTTTAAAAATTTGGAGGAAAAGACAAACTGAGTAGGTATTTTAGAGGGGAAAAAACTATAGAAAGCAAAGTTACCCATAACTAGAGACTCAACAACAGATATTCATTGTTTATCTAGAATCAAAAATAATACTTTACAAATAAATAACTTTTCTAGATAACTGATCTTTAATGACAAAATGTTTCTCTTATACTTTAAATTGTATTTCATAGTGTTTCTTTCCACTTACTCTTCCAAGAAACTCAATGGCAATTATTTCAGAGTTTCAGGTTCTAAAAACTTGGGGTTTTTTTACACTTAAATCATTACTGCTGTGATACTGGGGAGACTTTAAGTATATACACTTTTAAAGTTTTTCAATCAAAAACACTCTGTGACTGTCACAAAGTCATCTGATGTATCTTATTGACTTATCCATGTTTGTCTTTCAAAGCATCCTGATTTCTTCCCTTTCCTTCTTTAGATATTTTTAAACCGGTTTGACTTGAAATCACTTTTATCATGTCCAGAATCTGGATTGAAGAGTAGGACATGAGGGAACTCTACTATATAGTACACAGGGATTAGGCATTTCAAATTTATATCTGTTTTCAATACTTAGACTGTTTTATGCTTATTTTGAGTTTTCAGCTAGGCTCTTGTTATTGGATAAGTAATCTACTGCTATAGTCTGAAGATTTAATTTAAGTAAAATTGATATTGGAACACAGTTACCAGGCATATATTTATTATCATAAACCATGCTTATATAGTACATAAAAATTTACAATATAGTAAATTTATATTTATGTACATCTTTATTTAGTACATAAATATGTACTAAATACTATAAACAAATATGCACTAAATAAATATATTTATTTATGGAGAAGGGAATGGCAACCCACTCCAGTATTCTTGCCTGGAGAATCCCATGGACAGAGGAGCCTGGCGGGCTACAGTCCATAGGATCACCAAGAGCCAGACACAAAAAAAATAAAAAATAAAAAAAATTATATATATATATATATTTATTTAGTGCATATTTATATTGTACATAAAAAAAGTCACAGTCTCATTAACTAAGTAACCAAATTTATTCAAGAATGAGGATCTAATTCTGATCTTCCCATTTCTTTTTAAAATGTACTAAAGTTAAACACCAAGAACAAAGCGACAGATTTACAGCACTAGTACTCTGATGAAAAGGTAAAGGAGTTCTCGGGTTACTTTATCTAAGCAGTAATAAGGCCAAGAAAGATTCCAGTTTATTCAATTTATTTTAAAGATGTCCACTTACTGAAAAGAAGTAATATTAAATAAAGAAGTAGTGTTTCTGCTTGGCCATAAACACCTATCTCTTAACTATAGTCTACTATCCTGTGGAATAGTCGATACAAAAGATTATAAATTCTTAACCCTGGGGATTTCCAAGAGATCACTCCCCTGGATTATTTAATCATTTACTTATCTGAGGGAATATGATTATGTTACTTGAAGGTCCATTTCAGTTCATCCAGCCATTGTGTCTGATTTTTTAACCTATTCTCTTTCAGATCAACTCATCCATTTCTTTCAAATGTTTTCAATATAACCAAGAATGACAAGGACGTTATAATCAACCATATGAAGTGGAAAAAAAGTGAAAGTGTTAGTCACTCAGTCATGTCCAACTCTTTGTGACCCCATGGACTCCGTAGCCTGCCAGGCTCCTCTGTCCACAGCAATTCTCCAAGCAAGAAGACTGGAGTGGGTAGCTATTTCCTTCTCCAGGACAGCTTTCCAACTGAGGGACCAAACCTGGGTCTCCTATACTGCAGGTGGATTCTTTTCTCTCTGAGCCACCAGGGACTAAAGATGGTTATTAGTAATTTAAGAACTTTCACCTCAGACTTTAACATAGGGGTCAGTAAACTCCATCCAAGGGACTAAATTCAACCCACAGATTATTCTGGCAAATCAAGTTTTACTGAAACACAGCCACGTCCATTCACTGATGTATTGTCTATGCCTGCTTTTACACTATAATGAGAGTCAAGTGGCAAACTATCTGGCCCACAAAGCCTAAAAAATTTACTATCTGGCCTGTTGCAGAGAATGTTTGCTGATCTTTGCTTTAAGGGTTTCAGAAACAAAACTGTGAATAACATTCACCTACATTTGATTAGCTTCACCACTTCCAAATGGTTTGAATGAGTCACCAGTGTTCCATTCACCTATAAAAAAATGAAAATAGTGTGTGTCAGATACATTCTAATTGATACAATGGATAAACTGACTTTAGGAATTGTTATACACAATATAACCAATTAGAGCAAACAGTGCTATATTAAAACGTGTATATATCTGGTTCAGTATTCACTTCTACCACCATTCTACAAGGTATATGGCATGCACGCATGCAAAGTCACTTCAATCATATCTGACTCCATGTGACCCTATGGACTGCAGCCCGCCAGACTACTCTGTCCACGGGATTCTTCAGGCAACAATACTGGAGTGGGTTGCCATGCCCTCCTCCAGGGGATCTTCCTGACCCAGGGATCAAGCCCCAGTCTCTTATGTCTCTGCATTGGCAGGAAGTATCTTTACCACTAGCACCACCTGAGAAGCCTTCTATAAGGTATACTCAGCAACAAAATGAACTTGACACCAAAAAAGGCCTTGATTTAAAGGACATTATAACTTATTCACCATGAAAAATGATAAAATATACTATGCAACAGATACACAAATCCTTCACAGTGAAGAACCCTTGCAAATAGAAAAGCTCTCTATGTTTTAATTGCAAATTCACTGGTTTTCCAAAAGCATAATACATTTTTCAAAAGATGAAAAACCAGTATTCTACAATAATATTTAATTTACTTTTCATTGTCTAATCATGACCTAATCTTTACAGAGAAAATTAAATTTTCAGACAGGCTAAATATAGGAAGTGTTCTCCATAATTTCCATTAAACCAGAGAAATTAAGGTAAAAATATCAAACATGGATCTAATATTAACATTATTTTTTCTGAGGCAAATAATACTAATTTTTACAACTTCAAATTTATCAGGGTATAAAATTGAAGCAAAAGTACACTTGTCAGGCCCACCAGAGACAATCACGATTAAGCATGATGCTTAATCTTTGAGATGCTATTCTAATATACACACACCAGACAGACAGACAAGCATACACATACATTATAACTGTCTTTTTTCTGCAAATAAAAAAAAAATACTGTTTTATTGTATTATGGATGCCTTTCAATATAGGTACAAATAGACCTAATCTATTCTTTTTAAGAGCTGGTGATGTAACGCAATTTATTTCTCTGCTGCTGCTAAGTCGCTTCAGTAGTGTCTGACTCTGTGCAACCCCATAGACGGCAGCCCACTGGGATCCTCCATCCCTGGGATTCTAAAGGCAAGAATACTGGAGTGGGATGCCATTTCCTTCTTCAATTTATTTCTCTAGCCCTCAGTTTATGCATATTTAGATTGCTTACAAGTTTTCAACATAATAAAGCTTAAGTAAATTTTCCTATATATGTATCACTTCACATTTGAACACCATTTCCTTAGATAAGTTCCTAAAAGTAAAACTGTGGTCCAAGTTTATATACTTTCTAAAACTATGTAACTTTTGATACATATTCACCAATTTCCATCCAAATAGGTTTTACCTAATTTATAAGAGGAGCCATGGTACCAGTCCCAAACTATATCAAATGTGTATTAGCAGTTTTTAACATTTCTGACAAGGAAATATATTTTCACCTATCATTTAATTTCTATCTCTTTGCTATCAGTGAGATTTATTTCAATTACTCTGGGGAATTGCCTGATAAAATTCTTTGCCCATCTTTCTATTAGACTATTTATTCTCTTGTTAGTAATTTAAAAGTGTTCTTTATAGTATAGTAGATTCTATAATATGTTTCAAATATTTATTTCCAGACAGTTCTTTGCAAATATGTTCATGGTGTCTTTTCCTGTATGGTAATTTGATTTTAAGTAATCACATTAGTCAGCTGCCTAATAATCAGTGACTAATCCGTACTTACTCTACTGATCAAAACTCAAGGCCTGTTTCTGGACTATTGTGTTCCACAGATAGATCCATATTTATACTACAGTCACTTGCTTCGAATTAATCTACACCATCTCACCTCCCATTTACCTCTTCCCATAATACCTTTGCAAAATTTCTTTAGAAGAAATAATCATTTGGAAGTTTGACAAGGAATGGCACACCTCCCGAATTTATTAATAAATCATAATGAGAATTTCTTGCTAAGAGATTAATTTGGAGAAATAAGATCTTTACAACAGTGAGCTACTCTCCTGACAAGGACACACATGACTCTATTTATTCAAAACTTTTATTATGCTTTTCAGTAAAGGGTAGCATTAATATTAAGATAAATGAAATAAATTTTTATCGTCAATAAATCCATCACCTATAACGTGCAGCTTTTAATAAAAATTCAAGCTAAAAAATTAAAATATGGCTAGTATATGCTGCTTTATATTTCTACCACAAATTTCGTAAGTCTTTTCCTTACCTTGATGATTCGATCACCTGTCTGTACTCCAGCCCGCATGGCTGCTCCATCTGTAATAGAAATTAATTCTTAAAATGCAATTTATTTACATTCACTGACAATCTTCTCAAAAGAGAAGCATGGAACAAAATGGTTAAAAACATGGATTGTAAAGTCAGACAGACAAGGTCCAAATCCTGCTTCTGTCACTCACTAGCTGGGTGATCATGGTCACATTTTATGTTTTTTTTTTTCCCCTCCACTCTAAGCCTCAATATCCCCTGTAAAATGGAGATTAAAAAGTACCAAAGTACCCACCTCAAATTATAGCAACTAACATAAAGGAAGTATTCAATATATGGTAACATTGCAGTAGTATAAGATATTATAGTCATTTGAGGGGAAAAGATGGGTATTTTTGAGCCTACGACCATTTCTTTAATCTACCACTACCTAAATATCTCTGGTACTATGAAGAAAAAAAATTAACACAAACTTCCATAAGTGATGACGCTTAAAGTATCATGACTAAAGAGTCATGTGATTTTTCTAAAACATATAAGAACTTTTTTCTTTCCATAAAATACAAAAGAAATCAACTGGGATAAATTCATGCCTATAACTAACACTAAAACAAATCTAGTACAGTAAGGCCATATGACCTATAATGTATGTGATTATTTTATTCTAAGCAATAGACATTTTTTAAGCTTTTCTATTATTACTCTGCTTGCTCCCAGTGACAAGACTGTTTTTTAAAAATGCCTTGCCTTCTTTGACAGACTGTACGAACACTGGATTGTCTCCACTGACCGTCAGCCCAAATCCATTGTCATCCTTCTGGATGATCACACAACGCTGAACAAGACCTGCATAAGAACCACAGGGTAAAGAGAGAAGGAAAGAGAAAATAGAGAAAAAAAAATTCAATAATCATATTAGTAGTAATGAACTGTATTCCCCCTGGAGAAACACAAGGTAGCACATGAAACCCATATGAAAAATAAAGAGCACTGACCCCATAAGCAAAACAAACACAAGAATATCACAGAGTCATATATATTGGTTTCTCAAAGGAAAGGTAGAGTAGAATTGCTCCAGGATTAAAAATAGCTAAGGCGAACTGGAAAAGGTAAAGTATTAGAGAGAAGACAGACGGAAGCCCATTCAAGTCTATGCAATTTATTTGTAATATAAAATTCTACCCCCACTTCCTTGTGTTTTTAAGTGTTCTAAATGGTATTTAAACCCAAGACAATCGAACATTCTGGGACATTAGGCTAGGAGCAGCCCATGGTAAACTCTAGAGAAGTTCAGTATTACTCTCAAAAAAACATATTGAGAAAAGCAGACTATTAAAAAGAAAGGAATGCTTAGAGAGCAACTGTGGCTCTTCTGAAAAGTCCAAAGCAAAGAAACACTTTGGCATACAGAAATAATAAAAAGAAAAGACAGTAGAAAAGATAAAAGAACTTGTGAGCTTCACCAGCTCTTTGATTTCCTTCATATACTTACCTGATTGCTACAGATTTGTTTTCGTTCCAGTTAAACAGCAAACAAAAATTGTCAACATAAGGTGAGAGAAAGAAGACCACAACCAAAGAACAGGGATAAACCAGAACCCTGGTTAGTGCCCAGGGCTGTTTTTATCAGAGGGCAAGACTGGGAGATCCCGAACTCTGTGTTAGCCAAAGGTTTCATATATACTTCCAGCTTTACAGGATCTAAATGCTTCACCAAAAATGAATGTATAAAAATAATATATAGAAATAACACAAGTATAATGATGATTAGCAAATAAAAACTCCCTCAAAATTAAGATTCTTATACAAAGAGGCATGATCTTTTAAATGAGCGTGATGTACAAAACAAAGAAAGTGCTGAAGGCTGCACGTTAATGAATATACATGCATATTTCTTGCTATTAATGAAATGACAGAAGTATCAGCTTCCCTGGTGGCTCAGATGGTGAAGAAAGTGCCTGCGATGAGGAAGCACTGGGTTCGATCCCTGGGTTGGGAAGATCCCCTGGAGGAGGACGTGGCAATCCACTCCAGTGTTCCTGCCTGGAGAATCCCCTTGGATAGAGGAGCCTGGCGGGCTACAGTCCATGGGGTTGCAGAGTCGGATACGACTGAGTGACTAAGACAGCACACAGGAGCCTACTACAGATGACAAACTAGAATAACTGCATCCCTGAATGGAAAAGAGGAAGCCTGAACCTTAATTTATCAACTTACAACAAACCATGAACCTTAAGATAAAAGCTAAAACTTTTCATAAAAACACATAGGAACAAATCTTCAAGACCTTAGGACAGGCAGAGAGATCTTTCAGGATGCAAAATGCACCAATCATAAAGGAAAAACCCAGCAAATTGGATTCAAAATTTTAAATAATTGCTTTCCTAAAGACACTAATAAGAAAATGAAAAGACAAGCCACAGACTGGGAGAAAACATTTGTAATACAAATTACTGATAAAGCACTTGTATCCAGATTATTTTTTAAAAAAGTAACTCTGCAATCCAGTAATGGAAGACGTATTTGAAAGGGACAAAAGATTTGAATAAACACATCACACACAAAGATGCACTGGTGGCCAATAAGCACATGAAAAGGTACTCAATATCTGCTGCCTTCAGGAAAATGCAAGTTAAAACACAATGAGACACCACCATATACTAGTTCAGTTCAGTTGCTCAATTGTGTCCAACTCTTACCTCAGGCCTCCCTGTCCATCACCGACTCCCAGAGTCTACCCAAACCCATGTCCATTGAGTCAGTGACGCCATCCAACCATCTCATCCTCTGTCGTCCCCTTCTCCTCCTGCCCTCAACCTTTCCCAGCATCAGGGTCTTTTCAAATGAGTCAGCTCTTCACATCATGTGGCCAAAGTTTTGGAGTTTCAGCTTCAACATCAGTCCTTCCAATGAACACCCAGGACTGATTTCCTTTAGGATGGACTGGTTGGATCTCCTTGTAGTCTAAGGGACTCTCAAGAGTCTTCTCCAACACCACAGTTCAAAAGCATCAATTCTTCGGCGCTCACCTTTCTTTATAGTCCAACTCTCACATCCATACATGACTACTGCAAAAACCATAGCCTTGACTAGACGGACCTTTGTTGACAAAGTGATGTCTCTGCTTTTTAATATGCTATCTAGGTTAGTCATAACATTCCTTCCAAGGAGTAAGCGTCTTTTAATTTCATGGCTACAATCATCACCATCTGCAGTTATTTTGGAGCCCAGAAAAATAAAGTCAGCCACTGTTTCTCCATCTATTTGCCATGAAGTGATGGGACCGGATGCCATGATTGTAGTTTCCTGAATCTTGAGCTTTAAGCCAACTGTTTCACTCTCCTCTTAGGCTCTTTAGTTCTTCTGCACTTTCTGCCATAAGGGTGGTGTCATCTGCATATCTGAGGGTATTGATTATTCTCCCGGCAATCTTGATTCCAGCTTGTGCTTCCTCCAGCCCAGCGTTTCTCATGATGTACTCTGCATATAAGTTAAATAAGCAGGGTGACAATATACAGCCTTGACGTACTCCTTTTCCTATTTGGAACAGTCTGTTGTTCAATGTCTAGTTCTAAGTGTTGCCTCCTGACCTGCATATAGGTTTCTCAAGAGGCAGGTCAGGTGGTCTGGTATTCCCATCTCTTTCAAAATTTTCCAGTTTGTTGTGATCCACACAGTCAAAGGCTCTGGCATAGTCAATAAAGCAGAAATAGATGTTTCTCTGGAACTCTGGTTTTTTCGATGATCCAGTGGATGTTGGAAATTTGACCTCTGGTTCCTCTGACTTTTCTAAAACCAGCTCGAACATCTGGAAGTTCACGGTTCACATATTGCTGAAGCCTGGCTTGGAGAATTTTGAGCATTACTTTACTAGTGTGTGGGATGAGTACAACTGTGTGGTAGTTTGAGCATTCTTTGGCATTGCCTTTCTTTGGGATTGGAATGAAAACTGACATTTTCCAATCCTGTGGCCACTGCCGAGTTTTCCAAATTTGCTGACATATCGAGTGCAGCACTTTCACAGCATCATCTTTTAGGATTTGCCAATAGCTCAACTGGTATTCCATTACCTCCACTAGCTTTGTTCATAGTGATGCTTCCTAAAGCCCACTTGACTTCACATTCCAGATGTCTGGCTCTAGGTGACTGTGAGTGATCACACCATCATGATTATCTGGTTTGTGAGGATCTTTTTGGTACAGTTCTTCTGTGTATTCTTGCCATCTCTTCTTAATATCTTCTACTTCTATTAGGTCCATACTATTTCTGTCCTTTATTGAGCCCATCTTTGCATGAAGATATCTCCCTTGGTATCTCTAATTTTCTTGAAGAGATCTCTAGTCTTTCCCATTCTATTGTTTTCCTCTATTTCTTTGCATTGATCACTGAGGAAGGCTTACTTATCTCTCCTTGCTATTCTTTGGAACTCTGCATTCAAATGGGAATATCTTTCCTTTTCTCCTTTACTTTTCACTTCTCTTCTTTTCACAGCTATTTGTAAGGCCTCCTCAGACAGCCATTTTGCTTTTATGCATTTCTTTTTCTTGGGGATGGTCTTGATTCCTGTCTCCTATACAATGTCACAAACCTCTGTCCATAGTTCATCAGGCACTCTGTCTATCAGATTTAGTTCCTTAAATCGACTTCTCACTTCCACTGTATAGTCATAAGGGATTTGATTTAGGTCATACCTGAATGGTCTAGTGGTTTTCCCCACTTTCTTCCATTTAAGTCTGAATTTGGCAATAAGCAGTTCATGATCTGAGCCACAGTCAGCTCCCGGTCTTGTTTTTGCTGACTGTATAGAGCTTCTCCATCTTTGGCTGAAAAGAATATAATCAATCTGATTTTGGTGTTGACCATCTGGTGATGTCCATGTGTAGAGTAATCTCTTATGTTGTTGGAAGAGGGTGTTTGCTATGACCAGTGTGTTTTCTTGGCAGAAATGTATTAGCCTTTGTCCTGCTTCATTCCATACTCCAAGGCCAAATTTGCCTGTTACTCCAGGTGTTTCTTTCTTGACTTCCTACTTTTGCATTCCCCTATAATGAAAAGGACATCTTTTTTGGGTGTTAGTTCTAGAATGTCTTGTAAGTCTTCATAGATCCGTTCAACTTCAGCTTCTTCAGTGTTACTGGTCAGGGCATAGACTTGGATTACTGTGATACTGAATGGTTTGCCTTGGAAACGAACAGAGATCATTCTGTCATTTTTCAAATTGCATCCAAGTACTGCATTTCAGACTCTTTTGTTGACTATGATGGCTACTCCATTTCTTCTAAGGGATTCCTGCCCACAGTAGTAGATATTAATGATCATCTGAGTTAAATTCACCCATTCCAGTCCATCTTAGTTTGCTGATTCCTAGAATGTCGACATTCACTCTTGCCATCTCCTGTTTGACCACTTCCAATTTGCCTTGATTCATGGACCTAACATTCCAGGTTCCTATGTGATACTGCTCTTTACAGCATCAGACCTTGCTTCTATCACCAGTCACATCCACAACTGGGTGTTGTTTTTGCTTTGGCTCCATCCCTTCATTCTTTCTGGAGTTATTTCTCCACTGATCTCCAGTAGCATATTGGGCACCTACTGACCTGGGGAGTTCATCTTTCAGATCTTTTTGCCTTTTCACACTGTTCATGGTGTTCTCAAGGCAAGAATACTGAAGTGGTTTGCCATTCCCTTCTCCAGCGGACCACATTCTGCCGACTGTCCATTAACAGACAAATAGATTAAAAAAAATAGTCGTATATCCATTACAGTAAAATATTACTTAGTAAGGAAAAAAAGGAAGGAACTACTCACACATGCAACAAATATGGATCACAAAAACATCACGT